AAGTAGATCATATAACTACGCACAAGACAGGAAGTAGATCATATAACTATGCACAAGGCAGAGAAGTAGATCAATCTACACACAAGACAGGAAGTAGATCATGTGACTACACACAAGGCAGAAGTAGATCATATAACTACATACAAGATAGAAAAGTAGATCATGTAACCACACAAGACAGGAAGTAGATCATGTAAGTACACACAAGGCAGAGTAGATCAAACTACACACAAGACAGCAAGTACATCATGTGACTACACACAAGGTGGAAGTAGATCATATAACTACACACAAGACAGGAAGTACACCATGTAACTACACACGAGGCAGAGAAGTAGATCATAACTATGCACAAGACAGCATGTAGGTCATGTAACTACACACAAGGCAGAAGTAGATCATATAATTACACATAAGATAATAAAGTAGATCATGTAACCACGCAAGACAGGAAGTAGATTATGTAACTACACACAAGGCAGAGAAGTAGATCATACAGCTACACACAAGATAGAGAAGTAGATCATGTAACTACACAAGACAGGAAATAGATCATACAACTGTACACAAGACAGAAAGTAAATCATGTAACTACACACAGGGCAGAAGTAGATCATATAACTATACGTAAGACAGGAAGTAGATCATATAACTACACACAAGGCAACCGGAGGATCAAGTAGATCATAGGATTACACATAAGTGTATCATATAACTTCATACAAGACAGAGCATCCTGACCTGTAATAAAGTAGGACAGAGCACTTTGAGGGCTTGAGTGGAAAAGAATGTCAGGTTTTGGAAACTCGGAGAGGCTTTACCAGAAGGTAGCATTTCAGGCTGTGGAAGATCCTGCTGAGATCCTGTTAGGGAGGAGTGGTTGTACTAGGGAGGAATGGTTGTACAACAGTAAGTGGCGAATATTATTTAGGGGATGGAAAATTGAGAATGGAGAGCAGGGAGTGTGGCATGTGTAGAGATAGTAATGGGACATACTTCTAGTAGAATAAATTGGGATGTAAGAGAGATTTTTAGTATCTGTGGCAAGGTGTCTAATAATGATACCCCTAAGAGCTACTACTTGTAGATTATTAAATTTATGTAAGGCCTTGTGTTAGACATAAGCGTATATTACCTGGAATCTTTATAATAATTTCTGATATAGATGGTTTTGCATTTTATGAATGAAAAACACTGAAGCACAAGGAAGGATGTGTAATCTGTCAAGTAGCTAGTAAGGAGAGCTGAAGTTCAAAACTGGTACTGCACCACTTGACTCCTAAAATTCCAACATGACCTGCTAATTATTCTGAGTTGTTGGGATTGATATTAGTCTGTTAATTGAAAACAATTAAAACAGATGATCATAAACAATTGCATAAAAATTTTAAAATGTAGTACAACTAATAAAATTGGTAACTGAGTATGATTCATTTTGGGTTAATGCTGTTTCGATGCGTAGGAGCTTGCTGGTTGGAGTTCCAAGATCCGTGCGGTATTTATAAGCTGAGCACGGGACCTGTCTAGATCAGCAGGACCTAGGTTCCTGTCTGGGGACCAGCAGTCCCCGGGAATTCTTCAGGTGCAAATTCTTGAGCCCCACCTGTGCCCTACCGAATCGCCTGAGAGCTGAGCCCAGTAACCCGGGCTGGAACCAGTTTCTGAGGAATCTGCCCTGTGTTAAGTTCGAGAATCGCTGATCTCCCACACGACCCGAGGGCCGTTGGGGTGGTTGAGCTGAAGGTTCTGAAGGTGCGAACACCAATCTATGGCAGCGGGTAGGGAGAAAGGCGCTCTGGAGGCAGAATGCGAAGAATACAGAGCTTGCTAACAGTGAGCTGGGTGGGCCGGGCAGACTCGTTAGAGCTGTCTGTGACTTTGTGCCCATCGGGGTGTGGGGAGGATGGGCCCTTCACTGAAGCGCAGGTCCGGGGCAGGCGGCTCATGAGTGGCGGGGCGTGAGAGCTTTGGCTTGGTCGCGCTGACTCTGACACGATGAAGGAGCGCAGACTGGCTTGGCCAGCAGCCTTTCTGCAGCTCTCCTGTTCCGAGGAGAGGCTTGGGCAGCAGGAAGAGCCGAAACGCCCGGTGTGTGTTGAACCCGAGGTTGAAGCTCCACACGGGCGCGCAGCATGTGTCTGGCAACCTTTTCCCTTTCGGGACGCTTCACAGTTGAAGCACCTTGTCTACTGCTTCCTTAATTCTTGCAAATAGTGAGACGAAGTAGATACAGTCCCTGCCAGGTTAGAGAGGAGAAAACTGCGCCCTGCCCAGTCTGCCCTGCTGGGAAGTGCACAGCCGGCTGGCTCGGCCCGCGAGTCTGCCTGACCTCTGCTGTCTTCCTGCCGAGCCTGGGGTCGGGTGCACTTCCCCTCTGGGTGGCCGGGACTGGTCCTGGCTGGTCGCTTGTGGTTCTGAGTGGCTCTGGGGCTGTGGGGGACAGCGCAGAGAGGTAAGGAGAGCCGAGGAGAAGTGGGGTCTGTGGAAGCAGTGCGTGGATACGAAGTCTCTTGGCCGCTGGCAAAGACAGTGGCTCCTCATGGGAAGGAGGCCGGGTCGTTTCCCAAGTCCTGAAGGGCGCAGTGGCTGCCGCAGGGGGCCCCTCCTCACTGAGGCGACGCTTGCAGGCCCGCTTGGCCTGCGTGCCTGTGAGGCTCTTACTCAGCGGATGTTCTTGCAGCTGGCCGGCTTTGCCATCGAGACACAAAACTCACCCATTCTAAATTATTGTTCTCACTTGGGAGATAATAAAAACGTTAGTATTTTTAAATTATGTTATTAGTTTCACTGAGTGCCCTTTATTTTCAGTGAGTATATTTCATGAAATGATGATTCACTTTTGGGAACATTTACCTTCTCTTATTTGTTAAAATATCTGAGTTTACAAGCTAATTTTAATATTAGTATCACCCTATGAAAAAATATCCAATGCATCGAATTTTCTGGGACACTTCTGTGTGTAAATACAGACAAGAACCTTTACACAGAAACATTTCCAGTGATGGAAACACACCATTTCCTGCTTGTTGTGTCATAATTACTGTACCCTCGCTTGTCTTTCCGCATTCACCTGAATAACGGGAGTGCAGAAAGGACCCGGAAGACACCCCTCACTCTGGAAGCTCGGGGCTCGCCCCGTCCCGTCCCCTCCACTCCCCATCTTTGAATAGTCCCCTTTGCTAGTGTCCTGGGACGTACAAGTAATCAAGCAAAATGAGTTTAGATAAGTTTGATGAGTGGGGGTGAATGGGTCAGTTTAGTCTTGGCTTAAGGTTGGAAATGTTAACGTGTGATGGACCTTTCTGGTCTAATGTTTTTTTCTGCATCCGGTTAGTAAGTGAATTCAGAATATTTATTGCACTTATTTTTACATATTCGTTCCAGCTATGAATTTGTGAAATACCTGAGACAGCACATAAGCAGCGCCCTGGGGTCGATGATTGAAGAAGAGATGGAAAAGTGCGCGTCTGACCACCGTCAGGGCGAGGAGCCGGGCTACGACTCGGTGGTGCAGCACGTTACTGAGAGGATCCAGGACTCCCGAGAGTGAGTGTGGCGGCAGCCTGCCTGCGGCGCAGCCTCCCGGCTCCTCCCTTGCTCTCCCGGCCTTCCTTTCCCTTCGGCCCCTGTCACGAGTTCATGCCGGCTCACACCTGCGCTCACTGATTTTCTGCTTATTCTCAGTAGCTCCTCACTAGAATCCAAGCCTTACCAGAATCCAAGGTGATTTTATCTTTTTTTTTTTTCAATCTTTTACCAATTTCTGCACCTGTGCCTAGAAAATAAACACCTAGTCCATCTGAGTTGCCGAGCAGATGTCTGCTGGTGGCCTGGGTTCAGTGCTGTGGCCATTGCCTGCGGTGTGTGTTCTGCAGTGTCGTGGCACGCGTGGCGTGGCCTGAGGGTGCCAGCAGTGTCGTCTCCGGTGTGTAAGGCTAAGATGCAGAAGAACCTTCTGGAGGTGGGCTTAGGGCAGGGGTCTCGCTCAGAGGGGGCCAGGAAGTCCCAGCGGGCCTGGCCAATTCTAGCAGGAGGGTTTTGTGGACAAGTGAGACTGCCGTGGCCCCCAACTTGTCATCCTGCTATCATGCCCCCACCCACCGGGAGGGCCTCACCAGCTCAGCAGAAGTCCATGCCAGGTTCCTGAGCCTCCAGAACTGAGGGTGTCTAAGGTCCTTTACAAAGTGTCTAGCCTCAGGGGTTTTATTACAGCAAAGGAAAATATACTGCTGAGCTGATGTTGAAAATAATTCTGGCTTTAGCGATAAAGGATTCTCTTTCCTTTCCCATATCAGTCATGAACTAATCATACATTGGTGCCTGTTGTCATAAATCACTTCTCCATGTCACATGTTAGATCCGGGCCGTACTCATGAATAAGAAGTCTGCCCTCCAGGAACCCGCAGGGAAGTTCAGTGTTCGAGTGAAGTAGAAACTTTAGGTAGATTCAGTACTGCATGACAAATGCCAGGAGATATGCAGAAGCGTACACGGAAACGTGAAGAATGCATTGCACAGCTGTGGCAGCGACACCAGAGCCAGGGCTCAGGGGGAGCGTGCTTCCTGCTCTGCAGTGGCTCGGAAGTGTCTGTGTGCAGGATAGGTGACCCTGAGCGAGCTCACCCGACACCCAGGGTCGCTCTGCGGTGGTGCGCGTGCAGGCCTGTGTGCTGCGGCCTTGCAGCTCTGCCGCCTGTTGTGCGTGAATCAGCCACAGTCGACCCAGAAAGGAGCGAGTCTGTGTGTTCCTGCGGACCTTGTCTTCACAAGCAAGCGGGAAGCTGGTGCGGCTCCGCAGGGCAGATTCTGCCAGTCCCAGTATCAGAGACGCTGGGATGTTTACTTGGAACTGTGTTACCTGCTATGTTTTAAAGCATTAAATTGGATTTATTTTTAAAATTAATTTATTACTTCAACAGCAGTTTTTCCCTTGGTGACAATTGATTATAATTATTTAAACAAATATGTTATTAGTTAGGCAGAGTGATAGTGTACAGCCATCAGTAACTTAGCAAGTTCAAATCTCTGTCAAGTAAAAGCTGTAGAAATAAAGATATTTTTATTTCTTGATTTTTTTTTTTTTTTTAGAAGAAAAATGGAGTCCTCTTTGGATAATGTTAAAATTCCTCTTCGTCTGTTTCAGGCAGAATTGTTGAATTTACTGTAAAGGGACTGCTATACTTTATAAGTAATTTATATAATGAAAGTATTTTAATGATAAGAGCAGTTTTATATGATACTACTAGGAAATTCCTTTTTAAATCTCTGGGTAAGCTATTTAATTCTGATGTTTTAGTTCATCCATTTGTAAAAATTAATACGTAATAACTACCTCAGAAAGATTTTAAATGACTTAATGAGTGTTTGTCTTCTGCTTTATGAATCATGGATGAAAGATTTTAAATTGTACAGAGTATTATTTTCCTTCAATCTTTTGTGATTCTTCAGAAATTACAGAGGGCTAATGTGGCCACACTGCCTCTATTGACAGTGTTTTAGTAACACTGCAATAATTACAAAGTACTTTGCTCATATGTTTTAGTATTTATCTCCAAGTAGATGTTTGCGCACAGAAGAATTTACTGACATTCACCCAGTGGCTAGATGTGCGTATGCTGTCCATTTCGGTGTCAACACAGTTTGTTATCGGAGCTTTTACTTCCTGTTGCTTTGGTACTTGCTAGGTGTTCAGGGAGCTGCGTTGTAGGCTGCCTGCTGTTCCTCAGCTTTTTCAGAACTGCAATGGCTGCTTTTGAATCCTTTTTTTTTTTTGTCTTTTGAGACAGGGTCTTGTTATGCAGTTTAGGCTGGCTTTGAGCTCACTTTGTAGCCCAGGCTGACCTTGAACTTGCAACAATCCTCCTGCCTCAGCCTCCCAAGTGCTGGGCCTGCACCACCAAGCCTGGCTTGCTTTTGAATTCTAATTTGTTTAATTCTTGATTTTGACAGTCTGGTGCTCTAGCTTTTTGTTTAATATAATTGCAGCTATTATTCTGTTTCTCCCTGTGGTCATTTCTGTTGATACTTTTTGCAGAAGAATTCATGTTGGTCTTTGCAAAAAGGTTAGAATATTTTTGTCCAACTCAAAACCTCAGATGTTTTGTGGACTCGAACTATCCCTACTCTCACCCTGTATTATTATTATTATTACACCCTGTGTATTATTTGCATTATTTGATGAAGAAGCGCGTGTTCTTCACTAGGTGTAGTAAGTTTTAGGGGGAGGGACTTCCTGGTGTTCACCATGTTGCCTCTCCAGGAAGCTGTGCCCGTCCCCTCCTGGCAGGAAGAGTTTCGGCAGCAGGGAGATGTGCTGTGTTGTCTCCCGGTCCCTGCGGCTCAGGGCTGTAGAGGAGGAGCCAGGCCTTGTGGCTGTGGTACGTTGTGTGTTGTCCTTTGCAGGTCCGTGCAGTGAGCACTCAGGCCACTCTGTGTCTTGCGTCTATCCGTTTGCTGTACGTCAGGACCTTCCTGAGCTGGTTCTCACTGTGCTGATTTCTACTGTGTCTTCTCCCGCTTGGCTGTCCTGCTCTGTTCGTGTTCATTTTCAGTGTTCAGCATTGTCTTTTCCTATGATTCCGGCTAATTTACTATATGCATATATGGAAACGTGTGTGTAAGTTTATAGTGATGTAGCAGAAAATGCCCCCAGCCAGGGTGTTAGCTGCCCAGATAACAGTTCTCATTGCAGTTCCGGTTGCTTCTGTCTCCTAGAAACAGCTAGTCGCTGTGATGCACACTATAAAAACCAATCAGAGACAGCCAAGTACTCTGCCTCTGTGCCTCCCCTTTGCAACCCCCGTAAAATCCTCCCTCCCTGGGCCTTCGAGGCCTGACGTTTTGAGGGACAGTTGATTCCCTGTTAGCCCCTAAGTAAAATAAATCTGCCTCCAAATCCTGGGCGTCATTTTGGTGTTTCTGCTTGCCATTGCAGTGATAGGTAAATATATGTTGTTAAATACATCACCCATGTGAACGTATTTTCAGTTGGATGTGGCAAATGATGGGTGTAACCGTGCACACAGCCTTCTGTGGCGGGAGCAGAACCTGAGGTGATGAGCCGGGCAGGAAGAGAGCGTGGTCGGCTCCCCTTCTGGAGGCTTCGAGGCCCGCTGTGCCGGCCCTGCTGCTGTGGGCCACGAGAACGGTCGTGGCAGGTGCTGAGGAGACAGGTGCACCCAGGGTGAGGGACAGCGAGGGCAGGTGCCAAGGGCTGCGTCCTGCAGACTGTGCCCTCCCCCTGGGCCTCTCAGGTGCCCTCGCTTGTCCATGGGGCTGGGCTGGGGAGCGAGCCCACCCGCTCTTTAGTTTTCAGCCCGGGCGTGGGCATGGGGCTACGAGGTTGACTGCTTACGTGTCATGAGCGGGCCACGGGTCTGGCCAGTGGCACCGAGAAGAAATCAGGCTGCTATTTCGCTCCAAATCCCCTGGCCTGGTTGCATTGCACTTTCGTGAAAGAGCATCTGTCTTTTCTTGTTACGGGTTGTTCCAGGGACCCATCAGCCACAAATGGAAGGAAAAGTTTCTGTGTTTGCTTCTCTAATCATCTCTAATAAATACCCCCATGGGGCCTTACATTTACACATTTTTTCAGATATTTATAATTATTTCCTTATTTCTTTTGCTGTTATGATGTAAGTTAGCTACGTTGTACTCTTTTTATCTCGTTTTATAGTTGAGACAATTGAGATTTAATTTATGATGACAGAACTGGTAAGTAGGTAGGATTGTGATCCAGGATTATAATTTTAAATTTAGTACTCTATTAACTATGTGTGTTTAAACTTTTATGTCTTTTTAATTTTAAATGCAGAGATGCCAGTGGCCCAGCACCCATATTTCTTGTTTGTAGAATAAAAGAACTAGACCTTATGGTCCTTCCTGAATCTAAAATTACATTTCTAGTTCTTTTGGGCATCCCAGTCTAACATAATGTAGATGCTTGAGTGTTTGTACTTAAAAAATGGAGAATTTAGCTAGAAGTTATGTTTGAGATTTTTAGATTGCTAGAGATGAGAGAGATCTTAGAAATTATCCAGGTCAAATTCTTATGAATTTCCAAAGTCCCTCTTCTGGCCTTCCTGGTTGTGGGTTGTCTAGCTTACGTACAAAAGCACCTGCGTGCAGTGCAGCTCATGCGTAGGTCCTATGTGCACAGCAGGTGTTGGTTGGGGCCAGCGGTGCCTGTCGCTGTAAAACGTCGGTGGGGGAGAAGGAGCACAGTCTGAGGAAGGGAGGGGAAAGACAGAGATGGGCACAAGGTGAGAGCTAAGGCAGAGCGCAGCAGCCTGGCCTTCGGTGGTGTAAGATTCATAGCTGGTCTCTTTGCTGTGATTAGAATGCTTACCCCTGAGACATCTGGTCTTAGATTCTGTTATTCTTACTGCTTTGGCTATGTAACTAGATGAAAAAAATCCAGGAAATGGAACATTTCTCAATTTGCTGTTCATTTTTATTCCCATCTTACAGTTCTATTGTAACCTTTTTTTTTTTTTTTTTTCTGGTACTAGGAAGCAAACCTAGGATCTTGTACCTGCCAGGCAGATTTTTGTTTAGAACTGTGTGATTAAAGGGAAAAATCATATAATTTAACTTAGTTGACTGATTTTTGCGGGCAGTCTTTCTCTTACTAAGACTCCTTCGCATTTGAAGGTATAAAGACATGATGCACTCCCTGAAGGGTGTCATGACGGCCGCGGTGGAGGATATGAGCAACGGGTTTGAAGAAGAGGAGATGCGATGTCCAGACAGGCAGAGGAAGATCCACAGGGAGAAAAGCAGCAGTTACTGCACAGACAATTGCTCTGACAGCGACTCATCCTTCAACCAGGTGAGCTGTTGGTTTTGCGGTTATGTTTAGAAATGGCATTTAGAAATCACTGGCTTCAGTAATTCTTCATTAGCTAGATTGCTTCTGCTTGCCAACTTAAATATTTAGAAGAAAAATAATAAGATAACCTGACGTTAACGCTTCCGTCAGTGAAGTACCATCTGCCAGACGGCAGGTGCGCGCGCACCTGCTCTGTGGTGGCCGTGGAGGTCTGGTCTGAAGGAGGCCGAGGGAGGGAGGGAGGGAGGGCGGGCAGTGATGGGCGGGTGCTGGGCGGCCCGTATGCAGGCCCAGGCCGGTTGGGTTGTGAGCCAGGACCTGGTGCTCTGGAGCCGCCCGGGCAGGGACTTGGGTTGGACCCTGCCCTTTTGGGAGCAGCTTGCGCTCCGTCAGGTCCCTCAACTCGGCAGGTCCCAGTAGCATTCTCCCCGAGGGAGCGCTCCTCCTGCCTCGAGGGTGCCTCTCCCCGCCTGCACTGTGTGCCTGTAGATACCCTCATTTCCCCTTTGGCCACTGCTCCTTAGAGCCTCATCATAGCATTGTGAATTCAACCCATTTTCTGGCCTCTTCTAAAATATTTCAAGTTGTGCAGTATTTTTTTCGGTGAGAAACACTGCTTTTGAGGATATCATGCTAGTGCTGAGGGATTTCAAAGCCTTCACCTCTTTTTCTGGGACCAGCGGCCCAGCCCGGCCCCACCCATGTTCAGAGCCCGCCCTTCTCACTCTCTTCAACTGATACGATTTTACACTTTTGTATTATTTGTTTCCTAAGCAGAAAAACATGCAAGTGAAAGAGAAGGACAGCTGAGGTTTAAAGCCTGAGCCCTGAGCGTTTGAGTGTTGGGGCCTGACTGTGGGTTGTGTGGCGGGGAACGGACAGGTTTGCGGTGCGAACCTGCTTTTGCTGGCTTGAATAGTCATCCCTTGACACCAGCAACCAAAAGCCACTTCTTTGACTAGCAGTGCTAATTCTTTTTATTTTTTGTAACTACTGAAGTCTTTTCATACTTTAAAATAGTAATAGGTTTCTGTTATAATTTCTCATACATGCCAGATGGTCAAAACATAATAAAACATCTAGGTAATTATGAAAACCTTAGCATTTGAAAGTGTTTTTTAAACCTTTGTGTATGTTTTGAAATACATAGTAACTTTTGTTCTGTATGGTTTAATGAAGGGTGTGTGTCTTAGTTACTTTTCTGTCCTTGCTGAGATAAAAACACCTAATGCCCAAAATAAGGGAAGGAAAGATTTATTTAGCTCACAGTTTGTGGAGGTTTCAGTGCATACTCGGCTGGCTCCGAGGCAGAGGGGCACATGGCGGAGGGCAGCAGTTCGTGGTGGCAGAAGAGAGCCAAGCAGCAGGAGCAAAAGGGAGGAGCGGCAGAGAGCAAGCCTCTTTCCCTCCCTTACACTGTATGCAAACGACCCGCCCCAGGGACAGGTGTGGCCCTCATACCCGTAATCTAAGCTTTGGACTGTGGATCAGTCAAAGATCTAGAAGCTCACCCGTGACTGCATGAGGCTTTGGGGGGACATCCAGACAAAGTATAACAGTGTGTGCATACTTTTAAAAGATTTATGTGCACTACAATTAGGAAAAGCCCGTGTGCGTGACCTTGATTCCATCTTAATCTTGCATTAGTCTGAGATCATCTCTGCTCAGCCATTTATGAACTGGGATGTTGGTTTCCCTCCCTCGCCATGTCTCAGTTTTCTTGTATGTAGTAGAGGTACAGCCTCCTTTTTAGAGTTGCTTTGGGAGTCTGATGATTTAATGTATGTGAGGCATTTGATAGTACCCGGCATGTGTTACTGTCGGCACTTACATACAAACACACTGCGGTATCATTATCAGTGTTTGGTGGTCTTGTCTATTTTTAAGACTAGGAAAAGATTCTTTGTGCATTAGGCATATTAAAGCCCAAATTATTATTAGACTTAGTATTTACTTATTTCTTCTTTCTATGTTCCTTGCCAGTATTGTTTGGACAACTGTAATAACTTTCTTGATTGGCTATATGTTTAATGGCTTATACAGTTTACAGGGCAAATACTTAAATTAGAGATTTCTAAAGTAAATGAATTTTGAGGGTGAGTTTTTAAAATCTAAAGTGTAGCAATTGAATAAATATTTTTCGGGACATGTAATAAAGTAATTGAGTATGATATCTCTATAAAAACGACCGTGGGTGTGCTCTCTTCTCTCTCTTCTCTGTCATGTGTATTATTCCTTGGGATTAAACTCTGGGCCTTTACACAGAGCTACCTCCCAGACTCCTATCCCCCTTTTAATTTTTGAGACAGGGTCCTGCTAAGTCCAGTGACCAGCCTGGCCTCCAACTTGAGATCCTTCTGCCTCACCCCCGCAGAGCGCTGAGGTTGCAGGTGTGCAGCACCATGCCTGGCTCTTTTATAGATGTGTTAAAAAAAGCAGGATGCATTTTTCTTACATAACCTGCATCTGATAGATATATACCCAAATATACTCATTTTAGCAGGTAAAAACCTTTAATTCAGATCCTTATGATCATTAGGAAGACCAAATACATCTTAGAGTATTAATCTATTCTGTTTCTTCGCTTTCTCTCTTTCTGAATGCGTCTGTGTTTGAAATTACATTAACAGAATCATACAGAGCATTCCTTCTCCAAAAACCTGTTAAATAAATCTATGCTTTGTCAATTATGTTACAGAGTTACAAGTTCTGTCCAGGAAAATTACAGTTGATTGTAGACCAGTTGGATCCCCGGCAGCCTAAAGAGGTGAGCGAGCATAAAGCACGGCGTGGGGCCATCCAGGCCCGTCTTGCTGACTGTGTGGTCACCCCTCTCTCCATGGGCCTGTGTTGTCGGGCATGCTAGGCTGGTAGCCCTGATCAGCTTGCCAGTCTTAAAATGAAAGGGCACAAACAGGGAAAACGTCCTTGACGAATTGTAATGCGTTATTAGAACAAAACAAATTTTTTCCTAGCTTCCTTTATAAAGGGGTAAAGCATTTGTCCTCCAAACTGTTCTCCCCTGTTGCTCTGTGTGCAATATTTTAGTGATCTCTTATAAAAGAATTCATGTAATGCTTTTATATTTATATAAAATGCAAGCAATTGCTTAAAATATTTGGTAAACAAAATTATATACTTACATGTGACATGTTTTGAAATGTGCATGGGATTGTATCTGTTTACACCTTAAGAGACTTTACTAATTACTGTTCATGATGTGCTATTGTGTCTGAAAGTCAGTGTGCAGTGAAAATAAGGGTCTTCGCATTTTTTATCTTAAGACATTTGCCGTTTGTTTCCAGTTTATGAATTAGTTTTCTCAAACTTTTCATTTTATGTTACAGGAATGGTTAAGATTTATTCTCATTGAAATTTTCTGAAAAATCAGAATCTTTTTTTTCCTTTCAGAATTTTGCATTCTGTTTTATTTTTGGTTCTTAGTAAAAGATGTTGGAAAAGACGTTGGACACGAGATTCGCCGTTCATATGATAAAAGTCCGGGTGTTTCCCCTGAAATGGGTCCCTCCGAATCTGCTGTTGCTCAGTGTCCTTCATTCTGCTTCCATAGGTGCTGAACTCTTAACGGGACTTTGCTCTAGTAATTACCTGACAAGGAGAGGTGACTGAAATTGAAATTAACTCCTAGTTTCCAAAACCCTGTCCACGTGCCCAGGGCCGTCCCAAGTCAAGGTGGAGCCCGTCCCAGGCACGTCTGTTTGTCCTCTCATCCAGGGACCGGGTGCCTGGCTGAGGTCTCCTGCCTGTCTCTGACCTCCGCCTTTCGTTAAGAGGCTGTGGCTGGGGATGCCTGGGCTTGTGGGCCAGACTGGACCCTGTGTTGTTCTGGCGGGGAGCACACGCAGCCCTGCGCTGTCGCCCGTGGAGTGGAGCTGTTCCCTCCCGGGGCCCCTCGGGTCAACGGTTTTGAGTGATTCGGATTGGGTTGTGAAAGACTGATGGAGAAGTGAACTTGTGGTGAAATACCAAAATTCAATTTTGCATGCCACTGCGGAGTGACTTATTTTTCTACCTCAGTAGTTAGAAGGTTGGGAAACCTGGGTTAGCCAGAAAAAAATTCGGCACCAGTTGTCTTGTGAGGCTTGCTCATTCATGCGCATGCCCCGTCCCTCCCCGGGGCACACCGGGCAGAGCTTGGGGTTGCAGCCCAGCCCTGTGTCGGTGGCTTCCGGCTGGGGAGTCTGCAGGGTCTGCCACCTGCCCCGCCTCATTCCACCGCGGTCCCTCCGACTCACTTAGACTTGAGTTGTAAGTCCTTGTAATTCAGTGTTCAGATTTTGCTTTACCCGACACAGAAAACTAGTTACCTTCCTGCTTAGCACTTAGAGAAATGAGTTCTCATGAGTTATTTATAAAAGGGTATCGGCTTCTCACAAATGGCACTAAAAGTTATCTAGACTTCTCCTTTCAGGTCTTGGTTAAACTCTCTTGTGGAGAGCTGTAATTTTTCTAGTAGCAGGATCTTAACGCACATCTTCTTTAAAAAATCCCAGGTGAGATACGAAGCCCTGCAGACCCTGTGCGCAGCTCCCCCCTCCGACGTCCTGAACTGCGAGAACTGGACCCTGCTCTGCGAGAGGCTGATGGCGTCGCTGTCTGACCCCGACCCTGTGTTCAGTGTAAGGACCTGGGCTGAGATATACTAATGCCACATCTCCCTCCCATTCCAAAACTAGGCAGACCATCGTAGATTTCTCCACAGCAGCTCAAAGGTTACGGAATTTCAGCTTCAGCCTTTGGATTGTCCAGTCCCCTCTTCAGGAATTCCTATTCTGATTAGATGTGAAGTGTGATTGCTAACATACTGCTTTTTTCAGTAATAGACCTTTACCTTGTGCAGTATGTTTTATGTCGTGAAGGGGTAGCCAAGTATTTTGTGTTGTTATTTTTGAAAGGGGTTACATATTTTAAGAGAATTTATGGTATGTGAAAACTTGAACTTAAAAATTACAAACCACTGGCATTTAAGTGTTTATTTAAAGATGATCTACTTAGAAAGAGAAACTAGAAAACTGTAAAGTTTGTAAAATGAGACGAATAATACTGAAAAGTCCCTAAAACTGTAAAATTACAGGCAATAGATATGTGAATGCTTTATGTGAAACACTGGTGGGATACGACTTTCAAGAGCAGCTATTAAGAGAGAAAATGAGTTTGTATTACAGTGCCCAGTTCCACAGAGTGTCAGTGAGGTGAGCAAACGGGATGCTGACACTCAAGCAGCATCTTCTAAAGACAAGTTAGATTTCTGTTAATGAGAACAAGGTTGGAGTGTTGGTGAAGAAACTTTGGCTTTAAAATAGATGTGGGTTTTTTGTACAGAATTGAAGACATTAGCAGAAGAGTTGAGTTGTGTTTTTGTTCCGCGAGTACCCAGTGTGCCTTGCTGTAGTTTAGGTGCTGGAACAGCCCATGAGCAGGGCAGAAAAGCCGCTCCTGGAGCTTAGCTTCCAGTGGAGGCCACAGGCAGTAAGCAGGGGATTGTGGGAGAATCCAAGGCGTCACCTGCTGTGCGCTGCCTGCCCGAGGTCAGACTGTGTCAGCGAGGATGCCATTAGACAAGAGGGCTGGAGCCACTTTAGTGTCGTCCGCAGCAGAGAGTGTTTCCCTGACGCTGAGACGCAGTGCAGACTCACCAGCGGCGGAGGGTATTGTGGACTTCCGAAAAACTTTGACGCCAGGACTTCAAGCAGGGGAAAAAGAATTTTAGGGTCACTTTTAATATTTCAAAGCTCTGTCATAGCAGATACAGGCCTAACTTCCCCTGCATTTTTACCCCCTTAACAAAGAATTGCAGCGAGTATGTTTTCCTTATTTTAGAAAGTATTGATAAGTGTGAACCCGTCACCCTTTCTGATGGGCTAGTGCAAGTTGCTTTGTCAGCCGTTCGGATTACGATGCAGCAAGGGTCAGTTTCTGTACTTAGTAAATTTGAAACGATTGTTATGAGGAACAGTGGTAATAAAATCAGTCATTTTGTGGTAGAAAACAAAACATGGCATCTTTTTCATTTTAAATTTTTGCTTGATTCCTCTTACTGATTTTGATCCTGTTTCTTGATCTCCTACCCTGAGAACTCTCACATGTAACTGAGTGCAGCTTTCAGTGGTTGAAAAGCATGACAGATACCAGTTACTGTGCCTGAGATATTTAATCACCTGTGTGCGGCAGGAATTTCTTGGATTATTCGTAGAAGTCTCTAGTCCTATGGGGAAGTATTTCTTGTAAGCCTATGATGTGAGCCAGGTTATTTATTTTTTTCCCTAGATTAGAAAATTTGAGGCAGCTTTGTTTTTATTTAATGAAAAGTTGGATATCAGTATTAGGATTAATTTCATTATGATATTTGCATTTATATAATTAAAATTCATATGATTTTGTAGTAGCTATCATTCTTTTTTTTTTTTTTTTTTTGGTTTTTCTCCGGTACTGGGAACCGAACTCACGAGCTTGCACTTGCCAGGCAGGCGCTTTTGCCACTGAGCTAAATCCCCAGCCCCGTAGTAGCTATCATTCTTAACTACTTTTTAGTACCAGGCTCTGTTTAACTACATCTGTTTGTCATTCAATTAATTTACCTTGTGATACTTTGAGTTTTAATACTGTTAATATATATATATTATTTAATTTTTTTTTTTTTAAGACAGATTCTCGCTATGTAGTGCAAGTTGGCCTTAGCCCAGGCTGGCCTCAAACTCACAGTGATCTTCCAGCCTCAGCCTCCTGAGTGCTGAGATTACAGGCGTGTACTACCATGCCTGGCCAACAGTGTGTTAAATTTAAAAAATATTATATGGTACTTTTTTTGGGGAATAGAAACAGTTATTAGAAAAAATCTTAAATGTCTGATTACTGAAACTACTCATGTAAACAATCTGAAAAACAAATCTTGGAGTTAGAAATACAGTCGTCTTGGTGTGGTGGTGCGTGCCTGTCATCCCAGCTCTCTTGACTGAGTCAAGAGAATTTCAAGTTCGAGCGCAGCCTGGGTGACTCAGTGAGTTCCTGTCTCAAACAAACAAAACAAAGCAAGACAAAAAAGTGGCCAGGCATTTAGCTTGGTGTGACGGTCCTAGGTTCAGTTCCCAGTACCGCTCATACGTGCACACACAGAAATACAAGAAGAGAGGGCTGTATGTTCCTAAAACGTACACTGCCTGCTCCTGTTGTTAGCTGGAGCTTTTGCTGTCCTTGGTTCCTTCTGACCTTTCCCCTGGTGTTCTGCCTTCCTGCATCAGTACCCATCGCGAGCAGATTTTGCAGTATATTTTATTTGACTTACTCTTTTGCTGACTAATACAAGAATGTACTTTTTAAAATAGTCACATTCCTACTTAGGTTTCAGAATGTCGGTGTTTGTTGTTTGAGGCTTTAGTATATAGAGAAACTTTATCTCTGTTTGGGTCGGAATCTTGGAGGCACCTTCTATCTCCTTTTCTAGGACCGGATTTTGAAGTTCTCTGCGCAGACGTTTACACTGCTGCCCCTGCACATGACCAAGGAGATTTACATAGGCCTAGGTGGGTGACTCAGTCATTGCATTTTTTCTTTTTTATATGTACTTTAGGAAAATGCATATAAAATATTTTTTTTCCCAAAGCACTGTAAATGAATGGTATAACAGTTGTTACTTTTCTTTTCCAGTGAAATATTTGGAACTATACTTTCTTTCCAGAGAAAATCATATTCCTGCTCTTTCAGCGGGTATAGATGTAACAAACCCTAATGTGACCCGCTTACTTAAAAAGGTATTTATTCACTAGAATCAGCCTCTGTTTCTAGTCTTTCTGTACTTGGGGTTCTAAGTGTGTGACAGCCGTTGTACCTGTTGTGTAGGTTCGTCTTCTAAGTGAGTATCAGAGAGAGGCACCGTCTTTCTGGATCCGGCACCCAGAGAAGTAAGTCCATCCATGGGTCCCTGAGTGGGACATACATGTAGGTGTGGAATTGCCCATCGGACACTGAGAGCGGAAGACACAGACAGCCATAACTTGACAACACAGGAAAGGCGTTTGTGTGATTCATCTTGTGTGTGTGTTTTTTTTGAGACCGAGTCTCACTATGGGGCCCAGGCTGGCCTCGAACTCGTGCTGGTTCTCCTGCCTCACCCTCCCAAGTGCTAGAATTACAGGCGCTCACCATCATGCCCAGTTGTTTTTTTAAAGCTTGTTTTGTTTGGTGTTTAGCTATGTGAAAGCATCTGTATAAGTGTCTTACATCATTTCTAACACAGTAAAAGTAGGGTGTTGTAGTGTCAGTTCTTAATTAATCTTTGCTACTTTAGACAAGTTCCACAAAATGTTCTTTAAATGTATTCGTTTTAGCTCTGAATCTCTAATAAGGTCAGAAGAGCATCTGTGAGGCAAAGACGGAAAGTTACATTTGGAGAGCCATTGCTGAAGTGGTTAAGAATGTAGATTTTTAGCTGAGTGTGGTGGCGCCTGCCTGTAATCTGGGCACTTGGGAGGTGAGGCAGGGGGATTGCCTTGAGTTTGAGGCCAGCGATAGTGAGACCTTGCTTCAAAAAAGCCAAAATTTTCAATGTTTGATTTATTTATTTTTTGAGACAGTCTCACTCTATAGTCAAGGCTGGCCTTGAACTCACTGTGTAGCAGGCCTCAAATGCTCAGTGATCCTCCTGCCTCAGCCTCCTGAGTGCAGGAATTAACAACAGGTACCACCACGCCCAGCAAAAAAAGATTTTTAAAGTAGAAAAGTTGAGTGTGAATTCTACCTCTGCCATTGACTGAAATAAAAAGTTTCTAAAGATTATATTCTTACTATATCATTCTGTAAAGTATATTACTACTACTATATCTATATACTATTTTAATAGTAAAGTAAATCACAAATATATAATTTTATATAATATATGCATGTAATTATATATATGTCTATAATATAATACCGATATGTCATGGCCTTTGTGCTTACCTAAAAATCCCTTGTTCCTCCTCACTTCTCAGGTATATGGAAGAAATTGTGGAGAGCACCTTGTCCTTGCTGTCACTTAAACAGGACCCGAGCCATCTTGTCTCGCCAAAGCTTTTAGACCCGATCTACTTCTTTGCATTAGTTGATCCTAAGGCTGTGTGGTTCAAAAAGTGGATGGTAAGGCGGCCGCAGCCCGCTTTGCGTGTCCTTGTAGCGGCAGCTGGTGTTTGACTGTCCTGTGTGCTGAGCGTTCCGACCGCCTCCCAGGGCTCACCCGCTTCACCCTGAAAGCCTGTGTGGTCGGCGGTGGCACCCGTTCTGGGGGGACTAGAGTGGAGGCCGGCGAGTGACGGGCGCCCAGCGGGTCTGTAAGTGGTGATCCGTTTCAGCCTGCTTAGGCTGTGTGGCCTTTTGTTAGTCTTCGGCTGTCTTCAGCAGATGTGGGCGGTGGGCGCTCAGTGCCCCTGTGTCCAGGGCTGTGGGAATACGCCCACCGCACGCTGCTCCTCTTACCTCCCGGCGGGCCCGCCGTTTGGGGCATCTCCCGCGTGGGCCGGGGGCTCTCAGTCCCGATGAGCGAGGTCTTCTCGCCGCCCCCTCCCTCTGCACTGCTGGGTCCCCAGCGGGGCTCTGCGCCGCCCTGTCCGTCTGTCTGCTGGCCGTCTTGAGCTCAGGAAGCAGTAGAGGCGGAGCTGCACACCTGCTACACATGGTCGTTGCTGCGCAGCATGGTTTGGCTTCTTTGCTCTTCTGTCTCTTATTGTCTCAACGCGACGGTTAGTACCCGATTTACTGGAGCATGACTCTCCTCCAGTCAGGAGCCGTGTGGGGCCACAGAGCAGCAACTGATAAACGTTGGCGCCGTGTGGGTCCCTGGCCCCTGGCCCGCCTCTGGCGCTTTTCTTCATCTTCCCGTGACTGTGAGAGTGTTCCTTTATTGAAGAAAATGCAAGAAATGTAAAAGCGCTTTTTCTTCTAGCCTTGCCATACAGGGATGACGAGGTTTTGGTTTATTTAGGCATTGTTTTATATTGTGAAAGCATATTTTGCATGTTTTATGAATGGGGTTTTTTTTAAAGTTGAACATTTTTGATTGCCAGTTCTTGATTCTTAAGAGAATGAGGCAGATCACAAGAAAACTAAACAATAGGAAGTTAATAAGTAATCAGGTGAAAATGTCTTCTAGTGGTAATGAAAGTTTACTACCTGTAGGCCTTCCCCCTGAGGGAGGGTGAAAAATGCGAAGTAAAGGGCCAGGCAGTATTTTTGGCTTGTTGGGCTGTGTGGTTCTTGTTGCAGTTTCCCAGCCTTACTGTATAGCTTCAGAGTATCTAAGAAAAGGTGTATACAAACAGGTCTGACTGTGTTCCAATAAAACTTTATTTATAAAACCAGGTGGTAGCTTTATTTGGTCTGAAGACTGTAGTTTGCTGATTCCAGTCAGATGGAGGTCTTATGAGGATTCCTTTGTGGAACATACCAGTGTTACAAATAATTTAAGTGTATATCAGCATATTTCTCTTACTGAATCTGAAGAAAAGATTCATACTTTTGGAAAATAAGTCATACAGTTAAAACATAGGGTTTTGATTGACCTTCAGTTGATTATAATACTGCTTAATGAATTAAAAACTATTCCTTAGAATTCTGATAGCTTTTACTGTCTTGATATTTAATGTCAAATAGTGTTAAGTTTTTAATGTTTTTAAGTAAAATGAATAAACCATATTTAGAATGCTAATGCTATCAAGTATAATTTAAGTAAACAATATTTACAGTTCTCCTGGCTTTGTACAGTGCTGTGTATGTACAGGTTTTTCAATGCCAGCTGCATTCAGTGCTAAGAAGAGAAGCCTTTTTCATCACACTGTCATTTAAAAATGTGACTGGCAGAAAGTGATGGGGGTATTGTCTCTCTTTTTTTTTTTTGTCTTTTTGAGACAGGGTCGTGCTATGCAGTTCAGGCTGGCCTTGAGCTCACTTTGTGGCCCAGGCTGGCCTTGAACTTGTAACGATTCTCCTGCCTCAGCCTCCCAAGTGCAATATTGTCTCCTTGAAGCATTTTCCCCTTGGCCAATTTCTGTACATGTATACTGAAATCTTCAGTATAAGATTTGTTATTTTTCTCTTTTTACTTTAATGTTTTTTCTTTGGATCCTACCGTATCCTGGTAGTTAAGTAGGTTTGGTCTGTTGTTTGGTGGTCGTGACTCAGTAGGGAAATTGGACCCAATTAATGGGTGTAGTGTCTTTTACTAGTCTGTCACTAAATGACACCAAAAGTGATGCCAGAATTTTTTGATACCATTTTCATCCCAGCGCATCATTGCTGCGCTGTCAATGCAATGCATGTAGAAAGATCTGTTTGGCATTGGTTATAATAACTTAAGCCTAAGTTATTGCATCATTTACAATGTTATTGGTAGTGATGCAGGAAAAGGTTTTGAATGGCATAGCTCTAATACTAAATATCATTTTCCTTAATTTTAGCATGCGTATTACAGCAGAACGACAGTGCTAAAACTTCTTGAAAAGAGATACAAGTCTCTGGTAAGTTTGTGTCTCTGCTTTTACGCTGAGAAGCTGGACCTCGGAGAGACGCGTGGTGCCCTGTGTTGCTGTGCGGAGCTGCGCCGTGCGATCGGTGCTGCCCAAGGGAGCAGCTCGCCTTCGGGCGGCCCCGAAGCGCCACCCTGCGCAGGTGGAAAGGACGAGAGGAGGGACTTAGAATGCGGTCGGGTGCCGGTTAGGGCATGTGCAAGCACAGTCAGTGGGGCCGCTGTGAATAACAAGCTAGTTTGAGGAAAACTGTGTGTTAAAGTATTAACAAGTAGTTTGATTCAGGTCAGGCATTAATACGGGAATCACATACATTTGAAAGTTCTATGGAGAAACTCAGACTGAGAAATACTTGTGCGTTTGCGGAAGTTTGGGTTGGGTTACGCCTAGTGCAGACTAGTGACATGAAATGTGTTACCCAGACTGTCCGCCTCAAGTGTTACTAGTAGAGGAGTGTGTGCGCACTTTGCAAAGCTGAGATGTGTAAAATCAGTTAGTAATTGAGAAGCCTGAAGATGAAGTGTGTGAAGATACTTGACAGCTTGCCCGAGTCTGGGTGGTGAGTGTGGTGGTGCCGTCAGGCGTGACCCCGGGTTTTGCAGTGAGGCGAAGGCAGGTTCCCGGCGGTGTGCACGTTTGGTGGCGTGGTAGAGTGTGAAGGGGAAGAGGACACTGACCGCTCGTGCAGGAGCCGGGGTACTGAACAATAGGAGGGGGCTTCGCTGGTGGGGGTAAAAGGTGCTTAAACTTTGCTAGAAAAATTAAGTTGAAGTAAACTTTCAAGGTCTCAGGTCTTTTCCTTTCCCATTCAAATGAGAGCTTGCTGCTGCCCCGTGGTACAGACGTCCTGCTGGGGTGGAGGCGGGAAAGCAGAGCGGGCGGCGCTCCTCTCCCGACTCCCGTGCAGACGTGACCAACTTGCTGTCCCAGAGGCCCGGCGGGAGGGCAGATGTTGCTCACTGACGAACCTTGAAATCTGTTTCTTGTTTGAGACGCTGACTGTGTCAGTCGATGTTTAGGCCGCAGGTGGAATTTCTCTGTTGAAGTCATTTCAGCGGCTTTATCAATGAAGTCTGACTCTTACTTCGTGTATGTAATGAGTTGAACCTCTCTGCAACTTTATCTGAAACCTCATTTTCTCTGAAAAGCTTTCCTAATTTATAAACCATCAAAAAATGATTTATAGTATTTTTATTTTTCGAAGTAAATTTTGTTCTGCTTTGCAATGAAAGAAGGAGGAAAATGGTCTCAAGGTCCGCTCCCTTCTGTTTTACTTGGAGCGCTGAGGTCAGCCGGTGCACTGCAGCGGGCACTGGCTCCGGGCCCTGGTCTGTGTGTCCGCTCTGAGACCGTGGCAGCCCGCGAAAGTTTCCTCCACTGCTCTCCCGTGTTCGGGACGAGATCGCTGCAGCGGTGGGCATCTGCTTTTTCTGTGGCCCAGCACTGGCTTGCACAGGCTCGTTAGAAACTTGAAGTGGGACTAGGATAACCACAGGACTAATTCTAGGTTTTGCTTATTCCCAAGACTGCCTGGAGCTGATCTTTCCAAGGTCACCAGCCGTCTCCTTGATACCAAAGCTTACAGCTACATCCTCATCTCCTGGTGGCTTGTTAGGCGTGGGAACCAGAGTCAGAGGCATCTGCAGGAAGTAGTCAGGTGTCAGGAGGGAGAAGGGCTGGGTGGAGACCCAGCGGGACCGTTGCATACGGGCACATCACAGCGTGCTTTCGCTGCAGCAGTCCTTCCAGCTTGTTCAGTCTTCTGAATTTCTGGCAGTTGAGGTAGAAAGGAAGGCTGCTTCTAGTGAACAGGAAGGACTCCAAAGCCAGCGAATTAGGCAGCAGAGAATTTTTCCATCTTTCCTTAAGGTATGAAATATCTGTTTCTGTCGCTTCCTTTTCATACTTGAGATTGAACCCAGAGCCTTTGCACCGAGCTACATCCCCAGGCCTTTTATTCTTTTTTATTTCGAGACAGTTTCACAAAGTCACACAGGCTGGGCTAGAACGTGCAGTCTTCCTGTCTGAGCTTCCAGGGTGCTGGGATTGTAGGCGTGCACCCCTACGCCTGGCTAAAATACCTGTGCTTGTCTGCCCGGTGATAACAGTGCTGTAACGGTATTATACTTACTGGCCTGGGATATTTTCCACCGCATCCTCCAAGGTGGTGCCACAGTGGCGTAATTCGTGAGGCTCACTCAGCTGCAGCATCTGGAAATTCTGAATGTTTTGAATTTTTCCTTAAATATTTTCCTCTAGCATTTTTACTGCCTTAACTATTTCTTTTTAAATTCCTGAACTAATAGGTTGTAAATTTCTGGAGTTCATAGAATACTGTTTTCTCAGATAACAGCCGCAGTGCAGCAGTGTGTTCAGTACCTGGAGTTGTGTGAGACCATGAAAGCCGATGAAATCTTGGGACATTCAAGGCATTGTGGTAAGTATTATTTTCTTTGTTGCATACTTTTAAAAACGGTCAATTTTATTAGTAAAGATAGCTTAGAAATTGTTTGTTTATTTTGATTTTTTTTGAGACAATCTCTAGGCTGGCCTTGAACTCACTGGGTCCCCCAGGCTGGCCTGATTTTTTTTGAGACAATCTCTAGGCTGGCCTTGAACTCACTGGGTCCCCCAGGCTGGCCTTGAATTTGTGGCGATCCTCTTGCCTCAGCCTCTTGAGTGCTGGGACTACAGGCGTATGCTACCATGCCTGGCAGCGACTATTTCCTTGTTAGTAGTTCGGAGAATGGTAAATTAGATCACCTTTGTCAGTGATGTAAAATGAAACACTCCTGATAGATTTAAAAGATACGCCATAACCACAGCTTTTTATACCAAAACCCCCTGCGACACTGATGCTTGGTCAAGTGCTGCGGGCTGCAGCTCCCGACCTGCTGTGCTCCTGCGGCTCCCAGCGCGCTCATTCCATCGGGCCGGGCGCTGGCGTGGGTGGAGTCCCACCCGCCGGGCGCTTTACTGTCGCCCACGCTCTCTGCCCGGGTTTCTTCCCTCAGCCTGAGTTTAGCTGTCCCTGGCGCTTCACCGTCGCCCCGGGCTCTGGTCTCTCCGTTATTGACGAGTCCTCTCGGGCCCTTTCCTGCGGGGGCCTACACAGCCTGCTGCCGGCGCTGCTCCCGCTCAGCCCTGGGTCCCTGACGCGCGGGGGTGTCTTACTCGGTGTGGAGGAATGAAACTTACTCTGAATGCCCAAGAAAACCGCTTATTCTACACTTTCCTCCTCTTTTGCTTACTTCGCACAACTTGGGAACCTGATTCTTTTATGGTTCTGTTGTTTTTATATTGTTTTCCCAAACACGTTATTTTGAAAGTGTGAGGACGTCTTACAAAATACTTCCTCCCTGGTTAACTCTGGGAATGGAAGTGGTCAGAGACGCATAGCGAGCGAGCGTGAAAGCGGCCTCTGAGCGTGCGGATGCGGCTGACCGTCTTCGGGCGCCTCCCCAGTGCTCTGGCCGCTGCTTCTGTTCTGACCGCGAGGCCCCGTCCTCTGCGCTCGCGGTCCCGGTGGAGCTCCTGCGCCGGCCGGCTCGCACCGCCGGCCTGCCCCTGCTGGCCCCGCACCTGCCCTCCGGCCCTCCCCACAGCGCCCACTCCCCGTCTTCCTCCCGCGAGCGCCCCTCCTCCTCCTGCGCCGCTCGTTCTCTTCTACCTCGCTCTCCTCGCCCCCCTTCGTGTGGCGCCTGGCTGTTTTCTGCCCTTGGCGTTGGCCAGGCCCAGTCCCGGCTCTGGCTGTGAGGACTGTACACGTTTACTTGTAAATTATTTGAGTCCGCAACCCTCTCCGCGTGTCGCCGTCCACATGTTCCGTGAGCCCTGCAGAAGTTGCTGTGGCACAGCTGGAAGCCACTGTTTCTCCTCTTTGTGACCTCAGTGCTTGGCCAGCGGACTTGGGTAGAAGCAGGCTCCCCCCCACACGGTGGAGTTAGGGCCTGGGCTTTTCCGGCCACGCGCAGTCCTGACTAAGACACGTGAGCTTCAGTTTTTAAACAGTATTTTTGTGTCTCTCGTCGTTAATTCCTTTGTTCACACTTTTCCTATTGGGACTTCTTGTTGAGGGCGTGCCTGGTACCTGTTCTGTACGAGACCCTGAGTGTGGGTGCACAGTGGATGGAGAGTGCGTGGAAGGTGTCTGTTGTGGAGATGCTCATTTCCTTTGCGAACGGGGTGGGGATGCGATTTCAGTACAGATTCAGCCTTCCTATCTGCAGTGCTTGGGGTGTGAAGTAGTTCAGATTTCGGGGTTTTGGGGGTGGTGGATTATTTGCACACATTTACCTACCTTGGCTTTTAATTGTAGGCATCGCTCGGAGACCCTTTCTGGTGACTTCCTCTAACTTCTGCACCCCTCCCTGTTGAGATGGTAACTGACAGCCTTACCCTGTTTTGGCATGAATACTGGATACGTATTACGCCTTTTTGACTTCTGCCAATTTCATGGTGGGTTTTCTTCAGATTTAGGGTAGAGGATCAGAGGAGACAGTGAAGAAGATAACTAATTTAAACCAGTTCACTCCGTCAGTGCCGCCATCACAGACGGCAGCCTTGTTAGCGGCTTCCAAGGGCGGGAAGAGGCTGCCTTGAAATACGGCCCTAATCAGCGCTCTTGTTTGCTTTCTCCTAAGGGGACAGGCAGAAAACGCTCTGCTACTCGGCACAAGAAGTGCAGTATGTTTACTTCATCCACTCGCTGTGCCTTTTAGGAAGACTGCTGATCTACACACAGGGCAGAAAACTCTTTCCCGTAAAGCTGAAGAATAGAAAAGGTGAGTGAGTCGGGGACGCGTGTGGTGAGATGGGCCGAGGATCATTCGCACCGGGCGCAGTCCCTTCTAGGGTACCGGCTTCGGGAGGTTAGCCTTGCTAAGGACTTTATTTTCAGTGTGAACTTTTTTTCCACGGGTAGGTTTTTCTGTTCTCCTTACACTTAGTGCTTTTTAAAATTTCTCTTTGCTTTTCAAAATGCTTAAGCATGCTTGATGATCGGCCCTGGACAGAAAGCTAAAAGATCTCACTTGTTTCTGTGCTATGAATAACCTGTGATCTTTTGGGTACATCAGTCACCTTGTTTGCGTTTTTAATCCATAAAAGGGAATGTTGGTGTCCGTGATGCTGGACACAGAGACTTTTTGTGGTCATAGAGAATGCTGTTTATAGGTGGCACAGTCTATATAATTTGATGTATTACCACTTCAGTTTTACCATCTCATTTAATTTTTACAAGTCAAACTTTAACACTTGATGTTGGTTAATCCCACTTATTTCCCTTAAAACTTTAATCTGTACTAGAAATGTAGTATAGAATTGGCAAATTTTTTTCTGTGAAGTACCAGACAGTAAATATTTTGGGCGTGGAGAGCCATATACTGTCCCTCTTGCATGTTCTGTGGGTGGACGCGTGGGTTTGCAAAACAGCTGACATGGCAGGCCGGAGCGTGCTGTCCTTGGAGGCTCGGCGGCAGGCTGGCCCGTGGCCGGCATCTGGGAGCTCGGCCCCCTGTTCCTCCCAGCGCAGATGAGGGCGCAGGACTGTTCGTGCCTGAACTGGCTGTGCAGCGAGGTTTTTGCTGAACACCTGCTGTCCTGGGGAGGCTGGGGTTTTGGTGTGCGCTGGGCGGGGGCTGCTTACATGCCCAGCTCTCAGCGTAACCCTGGAGCTTTCCTGGTAGCTGGTGTTGCAGGCGTGGCGCCGCAAGCCGTTGCTGGGAAATGGCGTGTGTCCTGGACGACGCCCCTGGAGGGGACCCCGAGACACTCGCGCCCGCTGTGCTCTGGATTTGCACCTTTCCTGTGGATTTCACTTCGCATTCCCTCGTAGTGATAGCACTTCGTACGAATGTGTACTGAATCCTGTGAGTCTTCCCAGTGAATGGCTGAATCCGAGCGTGGTTTTGAGGGCCCCTGACCCATTTGAAAAGTGCAATTCCTTCTTAGCCTTTGGGCCTCGCAGATTCAGGTCCTAAGGGCTGGCTGTGTTTGCTGACCTGTTGTCACAGTGCTTTCAGTACTCGTTTGCCCGGTTGCATTATTTGGCTCCTCTTTGTTTCGGCCTGATGAGGAGCTTTCTGAGCAGAGAAAGACGCTGCCTTCTGCTGCTCTCTCGTCGTTCTCCTAGTGGTGCCGCATCGTGTTAGGGACCCTGAGCAGTCATTCTGCGGGCACTGCTGAGCTTCAGGGAAACAACAGCCAGCTGACGTCTGATGTTTTGCGGTTTTCAGCCTCAGTGTGCAGACCCGCCACCCACAGGTTATTTAGCCTTTTGTGTGCACTGCTCGGTGCGCACCTCGCCCTGTCAGCCGTCACCCGTCCTCTGAGGAGCGGGTGCAGAGACGTGTGCTGTGCCGAGCAGCTCCTGTGAGGCCTCTCCCTGTGCGGTGAGGACTGTGACCTGGGCCCGGCACGTTGCCCTCCAGCTTCTTGTGAGTGAAGGATGATTTTAGGGCTTTTGTATTCATGAAGAAAGTAGAATACTCGGTAACCTCTGGAAGGTGTGTAAGGCTAGCGTTCAGTGCACACAAAGCTTTACTAGTAAATACCCACAGTCCTGCCTGAGCTTGCAGCGTGTGGCTCCTCAGGACATCAGCAGCAGATGGCTGTCTGAGACAGATACGGTTTGGCCGCAAAGCCAGCGATGTTTACTATCGTGTGCTTTATTTGGCGAGTTTGCCACTTCTCTCTGCGGTGCTGTATAAGGAAAAAGCTGAGCAGGGCGTGGTGGTGCACGCCTGTAATCCCAACACTCGGGAGGCTGAGGCGGGAGGGTCGTTGTGAGTTTGAGGCCTGCCTGGGCTACAAAGTGAGCTCAAGGCCAGCCTGAACTGCATAGCAAGACCTTGTCTCAAAAAGACCCCCCCCAAAAAAAAAAAGGAAGTTAGCTGGTCTAGAAATTAAACAGAGCTTTACTACTCCTAATCAAACACATGCAAAACAGCCATGATCAGATTGGACATCTTCCACTGCAGGTGTGCAGTGAGGGATTGGCTGCAAATGGACGGTCACTTCACCGTCACACGGTGCTGTGGCATCGCCTGCCCTGCCACCTTTAAACACGCTGTGTCTGACTTGCTGTGGATCCGTCTGTTGTAGGTTAGAGCTCTCTTCTGACTGACCGTTTCACAGGAACTGTAGTGCAGCCATGCGGGAGAATGGAACGCATTTCCGTTTTCTAAGTTGTACGTGAATGCTAGGAATTAATGTTCTGGCCTTTTTTTGTGTTCTTTCAAAGACTTGGTGTCCCTGACGGATCTGCTGGTTCTGTTTACTCAGCTCATCTATTACTCGCCAAGCTGTCCAGAGACGACACCAGACGTATATTCAGGTAACGGTGTTTGTATTTTAAGTGGAGAAATTAAAAACATGTGAGATACTTAGGAATCCAGTTGTTGAGATGTTTTAACTGCCTGACCTAGTTAGGTAAGTAGTTCTGTTAAAGCACAGTATTCCCCATGAGACATGGTGTTGGGCCTGAAGCGAGCCGTGGGATCTGACTGTGCGCACTGATGTTCTGGGACGCCTGTAGTCTGCTGAGCTTTTTATTTAGACTCAATTTCACTGAGACCATTAATGCTACTTTACTAAAGATCAAGGTGTTCTCAAGAAATGATCTTGGGAGAAGATTGGCTGGTGGATATTAGTGTGCTCTCTTTCTGGCATTTTCTGTCCTTTATACTTTCCCAGACGTTTTGATCAAATTGCCTGTTCTGGCTCGTGTCCAATACTTTGATCTTCTGTAGTCTCATTGAAGAGTAAAGGAAAAAAATTTTTTCATTTTTTCTGTAAGATGCTTTCTAGTTTTATGCCTGTTGAGTGGCTCCTAAAAGTGTATGAAAATATTAACATTTAGAAGTTTTACTTTTTTCTTTGCATATCAGTGTTCCCAAAGTAAAATCTTACTATCAAAACATCCCAGTTTGTCACCCAGAATTGGGAGGACCCTGGAAATGTTGGTACAAATTCTGAGGGAAGCTCAAGCAAAGCAAAGCAAAAAGTGGTCTGAGCTCATACTAATGGTGTAAAGTACATGTCAACTAGCAGGGTTTATCTATGCAACAATAGTCTGGGTTTTTAATCATGATTTTTTTTTTCCTGGCTTTGCAGTGTTCTGTGTATATGGAGTACTCACTAGTGTAGGGCCCTGCTTCTGAACCATCTTGCATGAGAACTGATGCTTCGTTGGTTATAATTACTTGTTCACATTCTGCTGCTGGTGGGCTCTTGTCTCCCCTCTGCCTGCAGGGCCTGGCAGGGCATCTGCACAGCAGGCACCCGGGAGGAGGGAGGGGAGGAAGGAGGGAACGGTACGTGAGCATCAGTAAAACCTCTCCATGCAGCGGGTTTCTTGCCAGAAGCTGGTTGATAGGTTACCAGTCTTTTCCTTTTCTGCTCCCTTTTGTCAGGTGCTGGAGTGCGGACCGTATGGACATAATGGACTTTCTTGGTTCTAGTGTTGTATCTGGCCAGCCCAGGCTTGCTGTGAATACTTGAGAGGATGTTAGGTCCAGATATCTGAAAATACATTAGTTTATGAAATTAAAAATCACATTTATTATAATGACTGTTGTAACCATGCAACATTTATATGTATTGTGTTTTTCGATTGATCCTTTAAAAGAAAATCTTTCAAATACTCCTTGCTTTTTTGTGGTAACACAGAAGTATATTAGCTTCATGGTATTTTGTGAAAGTTTCGTTTTCCTCTGTCTTCTTTTTTTGCTAATAGTTTCTTCTTAAAGACTCGCTTGGGTTTTTCCTGGGCTGCACAGCCGAACACACCGCTGTGTAGAAAGAGAACACGTGTGGACACCGGCAGAGTGTGTCCTAGGAGGAGAAGTGGGTTTCCTTCAAACCGCGTGTTTCTTCCCACGCAGTATTCTGATAGCGAGCTGTGAGAGGTCTTGTGTTCTTGTCATTTAGCGTGATCCTTTTGCAACTTACTTACTTTTTGTTAACTTGAAGGTAGATGAAGTGGAGAGAGAATGTTCGCCTGTACTGTGGGAGTGCATCCTCTGCTGTGTGATCTTTGCACCACTGACGGACCTTTGATGTTGAGCTTTGTGGAACAACCGTAGCTAACATGAGCATAATTAAAAATGGCAACAAGTATTTAGTGTTTCAAGTTTTGACTTTTCGAAACACTTGCTGTTTCTCAGAGGACTGTTCCCCTGCAAGCACGGTGCTGGAGATCCTGCAGACGCTCTGTGACCAGAAGGAATGCGCCGTCGAGTGCTTACACAACAGCGCCGTGATCGGCACGCTGCTGCAGCCAATTCACAACGTAATGAAGGGGGCCGAGGTTGGTGGTGTTCACTGCAAAGAGTTGGGTATTTGTGAATATTCAGTGGGGCTAATTTTTGATATGTTTGAAATATCTCTTACCCTGTCTTTCCAAACGTGAAGGTACGTTGTGCTGATACTGGTTTTTATTTGGTAAGTCATAGTGTATGCAGGTGGTCGATTTATCAGTTACCACAGGGTGGGGTGTACGTACAGTATCTTAAGTTTTCTTCCAGTCAGGCTTAGATCTGCTGATGCGAAGCACTTAGTGATTCTTTTAAGAAGCCATTTGTCTTGCCAATGTAGTAAGTCTTGTGAATTCCTCTTTATTTGTTTTAATGGCAGTTTTGTAACTTTTGGAAATGCAATTATTTTCCCTCACAGCCAAGTGTATTTTATAGTAAGAAGTGTATGACTCAGAAAGAGCAGCGATGTTCATCCCAGTTCTGAACACGTGTGTGTCCCTCGCGGACTGCCGTGTGCCTGCATACGTCTGCAGCGTGACTCGCACGCCGGGGTGGTGGGCGGGGCGTGTTCAGGGGACTTAGGCAGGCGGGGGTGGCAGAGTGGCCCTCGCTGGTCCTGCTGTCTGTCCAGCGTGTCCCTCTGTGCCCGCGGCTTCGGCTCTGGGCAGAGACTCTGCAGTGCCTCCACAGTCTGCAGACCCGGCCTCTTCGCACCTGCTCTGTAGTGTCGCTCAGGGCTCGTCTCTGACACCACACTGCCCTGTGCTCAGGTGCTGTCTTGTGTGTTGCTTGCTGGGTAAATTTCAAGTTGGCGTTTACCAGGTTTTCTGTGTTTCTACCCCGTTTTGTTTTCCGTCTGTCCCAGTTGTTGCAGGGCTCGTGCATTTTCTAAACGAGGTCACAGTGCCTCCCGGTGTCGCACACGATCCTCTGACCCTGAGAGTCACAAACTCGGTCCACATGAAAAATTCTTCTCTTCAGAACAGAGCTTCTCTCTGAACATTCTTCCCAGTTCCCCTTGCAGTAGCGTGTTTCTTTTCCCTGAGTTCCCGTGTGAGGGACGTCCGTAATTGTACTTACGTTCGGATGTATTCCCAAGGCGGGGGCCAGTCCTGTGGTGCATAACAGACACTTACTGCCTGGCTGAGGGAGGGCGGAGCCAGCCTCCGAGCACCGCGGTGTGTCGCAGCTCTGCGCCGGGTGCTGCAGGCAGAACTGAGTGGGAGCTGGAGGACGGGCAGGCCTGCGGACAGAGGCTCCCTACAATGAGTGAGAACTTGCAAAACGTGTGCGTGTGTGTGTGAGAGAGTGTGTGTGCATTCTCGGGTGTGTCTGTCACCCACGCGATGAGAGGAGGAAGGAGTCGAGACAGAAAAGCCACTGTGGAGAGACCTCAGAGCGTGGACAGTAACAGGTCATCGAGAACTGGGTCGATGTTCACATACATATAGGTATATATATTTTTTAGGTGAAAACAGCTGACTCATATGTTAAGCTAAGTAAACAAAATTACTGAAGTGTGCTGATTGCACCATATACATTCTTTTTGTTTGCTTTGTTTTTGAGACAGGGTCTTGCTGTGTAGTTCAGGCTGGCCTTGAACTCACTAGGTAGCCTGGGCCGGCCTCAAACGCACGGCAATCCTCTTGCCTCAGCTTCCTGAGTTCTGGGGTTACAAGTGTGGGCCACCATGCCAAGCTATGTACATTCTTAATTTAGGAAAGCGGATGTGTGCATGGGCGTCGCTCGAGGACAGGGGAGCGGGCAGACCCAGCAGGGATAAGAATTACTGTGGGCCTCAGTGTTACCGTGGTTCTGCAGGTTTGCAGATCTGTTTTGTGCTGTGTTTCTGTGTACTGGTAAAGTGTGGTGGTTCTTCTGTTTAAAGTCAAAGGTGAGAAACGTGGCTGATGCAGCTCTGGCTTTGGCCCGCGGTGCGCTGTCCATGTCCAGGGAGGCGTGCGAGGGGTGCTGCCTGTGACAGGATGGTGCTGTGCTGGATGCCGTGAGTGTTAGCAGTGCTCTGGGCCAGCAAGAACCCCGTGGGCCAGAAGCACAGGGCAGGGTGGGAATGGAGGACGGAGGCGCGTTTGCTAACTGGAGTTAAACATAAGACGGGAGCAGCTCTCAAAAATGCCTGGGCGGGAAACCTGAGCTCCTGGCCGAATCAGCTCTTCTCATAAAAGGTGACAACCTAAGACATTGTTTCACTGCCAAGGAAATTGCGGTGGTGGTGACAACTTCATTAGGCTACACAGCACGCTGGATTTGGCACAGAAGTGCGTGGTTTGTCTTGTTACCATTTTAATGTGCAGGCTGCTCCAGATTGCTCGGAAACAGCCTTCATCCATGCAGCTGACATCCTGGCAAGAATTGCTTCTGTGGAAGAAGGACTTGCTCTACTTCTCTACGGAGAAAATACGAACTCTTCCGAAGAAGAAAGGTATGTGCCTTAATCTGCACGAGTGCTTCAGCTGTGATAGGGTTCGGGGCCGCCACTTACACCGTGCGAAAGGATTTTTAATGTGATCTTGTTGGAAAGTAAGAGTGGGAGCGTTCACTCGGGGTGGGATAGTTCCCCTTTCTCATTATCTGCCCTCTGTGACTTTCTCATACACGCTTCGTAAGTCCCACAGCGGTGATGCAGATCACACCAAGCAAGGTGTGCAAGGGAAAGCTGTTTTCCCTTCGTCTTTCTCTGCTGCCCTGGTTCGGGCTTCTTGTTTAACCTCCGGTGATGGTTTGATGTTCAGCTTCTATACTTTCTCTGTGCTTACAGTGCTGTGATGCACCAAGAAAACATGAATGTTGCTCTCCTTTTTGCAAAAATGGCATCGTATTGTGTACATTGCCCTGAAATGGGATTGTTTTACAGGTAACTTTGGGCATTTTCCCAGCTGAGAAGAGAGTGTAGCATTTTTATTTTCATTTATTTATTTATTTATTTTAACAAACACATACATTTACAAAATAAAAACAAAACAAGCAATACAGAATTTCAGACAAGATGATAGGAAATTAACAATGGTTATTGTATTACACATTGATATCTTCAAATTGGTTACTCAGACATGTAAGACATAGACATGTAACATTGATCAAATAGTTAAACATTAACTATTCCTTTCAATAAACCAATAGAAGTCAGTAGTACAACTGTGTTAGCTATCCTGCGTGTACATATACATGTAATTTTCCCCTTTCTTTTCTCTTTTCCCTCGTCCTAGTTGCTCTTTACTTTTGAGCAGTTTCCTTAACTTTCACAATATCTGTTGCACCTCCTAGTTTTTATTCACTCTTTTAGGTTCTTACACTAGTGAGACAATATGGTGTTTACACATGGGGGTCTGATTTATTTCACTTATGAGTATGGTCTCTAGTTGTGTCTATTTACCTATAAAAGCCTCAAGTTTATCTTTCTTTATAGCTGAGTAATATTCCATTGTATAAAAATACAGTAACTTTTTTATGCATTCCTCAGTTGATGGGCATTTGGGTTGCTTCTATAGTTTAGCAATGACAAATTGCGCTGCTATAAACATAGGTGCACATATATCTCTGTGATATGATATTTTCAGTTCTTCTGAGAAAATATCCAGAAGGGAAATAGCTGGGTTGAATGGGACCTCTAGTCCTAGTTCACTGAGGAGTCTCCAAACTGATTTCCACAGTGGTTTCACCAGTCTGCACTCCCACCAGCAGTGGAGAAGGGTTACTTTTTCCCCACAACCTCGCCAGCATTTGTTACTGGTTGATTTCTTAATGATAGCCATTCTTACTGGGGTGACATGGAATCTCAGTGTTGTTTTAATTTGCATTTCTTGAATGACTAATGATGTTGAACATTTTTTCATGTACTTATTTGCCATTTGTATTTGTTTATCTGAGAAGTATGTATTCATCTCAGCTGCCCATTTTTGGATTGGGTCTTTGAATTTGTGGGGGGCTGATGTTTTTCAATTCTTTATATGTTGTAGATAGAAGTCCTTTGCCCAAGGGACAGTTGGCTAACATTTTTTTCCCAATTTGTGGGTTTTCTTTTTACGCTGCTGGTAATTTCTTTAGATGTGCAAAAACTTTTCAGTAAGATGAGATCCGAGTTGTTGATTCTTTGAAGTATTTCCTGTGCAGTTTGATTTTTGTTCATGAACTCTCTGCCTACCCCTACAGCCAGTAACATTTTTAATAGCTGCATTATCCTTCTTTGTCTGGCTTTACTGTAATCTATTCAGTCAAACATTTCCTGTCTTCATGAATATCAGGCTTTGTCTAGGATTTTGCCTCCATAAATAACATTCCAATAAATATTCTTTTTCTTCTTGAGCTTTTTGCTGTGATGGATTTCTTTAACGGGTAGTTCCATGTTGAACCATCCTGGAATGTGTACTACTTCGTTGCAGTGAATAATTCCTATTATATATGTTGACATTTGTCGGGTTAGATAACCCTTAGTTATTGCAGGCTGATCAGGCCTGCAATCTTCCAAGTGAGTGGATGGTGAAGGCTTAAATAAATGAGACAGTTGAAAGGATTTCAGTGCACCAGGAGGGTCTCACTGTCTTACAGCCTCGATATTCTCTGGGTTTAGACAAAGACTTCTCTGCGCGGACGGTATTTATTTGGTTTTCAAACAAAGGAGGGGGATACTCAAGAAAGCTCGGGACTCTAGCAGGACCTTGGGAAAATTTTCCCAAGTAGTAAATTATGTCAATCAGGAGAACTACCTTTTCTTTAGGTTGGTATTTATTGTAGGAGTGTGGAGCCTGCAGCTGCAGTCTCCTAGTAGTTAATTGGGGTTGGATCCAGACGTCCTCAGCTGTGGCCTTATCTTGTCCTTTGAGGTGTCACAGCTTCACAGGCCAATACAGGCCTCAGTGGTGACCAGGGACTCACAGAGGTTCACTTACTGTGAGTCCATTGCCACTCTTTAGACAAGGTGCCTACGCTTTGGATAACTCACAAGAAAACATGGAAAGCCAATTGGTTAGTATTAAATCCTGCTCAGAGCCACTTTTGTAGTGGTGTCCAACATACCTTGAGAATTTTTCGCCATGTTTCTGAGAAGTAGCAATCTCTGACTTTTGTTACGTTTTTGGCAGGCTGTGGTATTATTGGAATGCTAGTCTTCTAACTTAGAAATTATTCCTTCTGCTTCTGTCTTGTAGAAAAGACTATTGAGCATTGCTACAATTTCTTCCTTAAATATTTGATAAAATATTTGAGCTTGGCATTTTCTATTTCTGTTAATTATGATACCAGTTTTTTTGGTAAGGCTTGTTCAGATTGTTTGCTCTTTTGTGAGTGTCGGTAGATTGTGTCATTCAGGGAATGATCCACTTGTATTATCAAATTTGTTGCGTAGTATCGTTTGTGATACTCCTTTGCCATCTTTTAAGGCCTGTGGAATTAACAGTGATAGCCTTTCTTTCATTTCTGGTATTAGTACTTTTTGTATTCTGTTTTTTCTTTTTAGCAAATTTACCTCTTGCCTTGCTTTTTTTTTTTTTTTTTTTTGAGACAGGGTCTCACCGTGCACTTCATACTGGCTTCGAGCTTGTAGCAGTTCTGCCTCAGCCTCCTGAGGGCTGGGATTACAAGCATGTGCCACCATGCCTGGCGCCCTGCTCTTTTTGTTTAGGCTGCTTTGGCTGTTCTGAGTCTTTTGTGTTTCCATCCGAATTTTAGAATTGTTTTTGCTAGTTCTCTGAAGAACGTCATTGGAATTCTAATGGCAATTTCATTGCGTGCATAGGTGACATTTGGTAGCGTGGGCATTTTAACAGTATTGATTCTCCCGACCCATGCACCGCGGGGGCCGTCCCATCTCCTAGTGTCTTCAGTTTCCTTCTTCAGTTTTATGTGATTTTCATCGTACAGATCTTTCATGTCTAGATTGATTTCTAGTTCTAAAAATTTATTGTACATGGAATTGTTTTCCTCATTTCTTTCTCAGCTAGTTTCTTGTTCGTGTATAAAAAAGATACTGCTTTTCCTATGTTGATTTTTTTATCCTGCCACTTGACTTGTTTATCAACTCCAAAAGTCTTATGGAGCCCTTGAGTTTCTAAGTATGGGATCATATTGCTGCAGAAAAGAGTAATTTGACTTCTTCTTTTCTGCTGTGGCACCATTTGTGTTTGTGTTGTACATAAGACGGCTGTGATCATGAGTTTGCAAATGGGAGGAAAATTTTGGTGAGCACTTTTGTTGCAAACTGAACTGTTTGTAAAATGAGGCAGTACTGTACTTGTACCCTTGTTATTTCTTTCTCTTGCTCGGTTGCTTCAGCTAAAATTTCACTACTGTAATGAACAGGAATGGTGAGACTGGTTTTCTTTGTCTTATTCCTGGTTTTGTGTGTTTGCCTTACATAACCAGTAGTACTTTGAAGTATGTTCTTCAATACACAGTTTCTTCAGACTGTTAACACGAAGGGATGTTGAATTTTATTGATAGCTTTTTCTTGAGATGATCATATGATTTTTTTGTTCTCGAGTCTATTTATGTGATATATTTATTGACTTGCATATGTTGAAGCAGCCTTGGATCCCTCATATTCCATATGAACTTTTAATACGCTATTGAATAAGATTTTCATGTATTTTATTAAGGATTTTGCATATATTTTCATCAAGGACATGGGTCTGTAGTTTTCTCTTTCTTTTTTCTGTCCTCCCTCCTTCCCTCATTCCCTTCCTTCCTTCCTTCCCCTTCTCTCCCTCCCTCTCCTCCTTCCTTCCTTCCTGTTGTATCCTTGTCTGGTTTTGGTATCAATGTGATGTTGGTCTCACAGAGTTAATTTGGTAACAGTTTTCCCTTTCTCTTTCATAAAATAGTGTAGGGAAGCTTGGTGTTAGTTCTTCTTTAATGGCCTGGTAACATTCAGCAGTGAAGACATCTTGTCTTGAGCTTCATTGTTGGAAGAGTTTTTTATTACTATTTGTCTCATTGCTTGCTGTTGCTCTACTTACTTTTTTATGTCCTCCTGGTTCAATTGTAGTAGACCAGATGTGTTTAGACATTTGTCTACTTCTAGATTTTCCAGTTTATTAGGATATAAGTTTTCAAAATAAACCCTAGTTATCCTCTGGGTTTCAGAGATATCTGCTGTAACATCATCTTTTTCATCTCTCATTGTATTGATCTGAGTCTTCTTTCTCCTCCTTTTTGGTAAGTTTGGCTTAAGGAATTATTAATCTTGTCTTCTAAAAGAACCAGCTTGAGCCAGGTGCTGTAATCCCAGCACCTGGGAAGCTGAGGCAGGAGGATCATTGTGAGTTCGAGAGCAGCACGGGCTGTAAAGTGAGCTCAAGGCCAGCCTGAACTGCATATCAAGACCCTGTCTCAAAAAGACAAAAAAAAGAAAAAGAAAAAAGAAAAAAGAACCAACTCTTAGTTTCATCAATCCTGTGTAGTATTCTTTTAGTTTCTGTATCATTAGCTTGAGCTCTCATTTTTATTGTTTCTTCTGTTCAGTTTGATTTGGGTTTGTTACTTGTTTTAAGACCATGGGATATATCATTAGGTTATTTATTTGAGACCTCTCTGATTTTTTGAGGTAGGCACTTAGATGTATAAGCTTCCCTTTCAGTCTGGCCTTTGCTCCATTCCAGACTTCTGGTGTCTTGTATTTCCATTTTAATTTGATTCTAGGGATTTAAAAAAAAATTTCCCTTCACATTTTTTAAATGATGCACTGATCAGTCAAAAGTGAGTTGTTTAATCTCCATGTGTTTGTATAGTTTTTATAGCTTTTCTAGCTGTTGATTTCTAGTTTCATTCCATTTTGATCTGGCAAAATGTGTGATGTAGCTTTTTCTTATCTTTAAGGCTTGCGTTATAGCCTGTAATCTGATTTATTTTGGGGAATGTTTGGAGAACTGCTGGGAATAACATATGTTCTGTAGTTTTGGGATGGAATGTTCTGTAGACATTTGTTAAGTCCATTGGGTCTATGGGATAGCTTAATTCTAATGTTTTTTTTTTTGTTTGTTTGGGTGACATCTGTTGATTAGAGTAGGTGTTGAAGTCTTCCACTAGTGTCATATGGTCCCTATGTGTACCTTCGCTTTGAGTATTATTTATTTTGTGTAATTGTGTCCACCAGTACTTGGTGAATATGTGGTACTTACAATTGTTATATCTTCTTGGTGGATTGTTCCCTTTACCACTGTTTGGTAGTTTTCTTTGTTTCTTCTAATTTTGTCTTGAAATTTGCTTTGTTTGATATGAGTATAGCTATTCCTCATTGCTTCTGAAACCCACTATCAAAATATTGTTTTCCATCTCCTTTCACTTTTTGGTATGTGTATATCTTTGCTGGTGAGGTGTGTTTCTCATCGGCAGCAAAGAGATGGATTTTGCTGTTCAGTACTCTCCTAGTCTTTGTCTTTTGATTTGAGAATTAGGACCGTTTACTTTCAGTGTTATTATAGAGAGTTATGTACTAATTCCTGTCGTCTGTTGTCTTCCTAATGTTTGGTCCTTTTCTCATTCTTGTCTGTTTTTACTGTTCTGGTCACAGGAGTCGCTTCAGTATTTCTGTAATGTTGACTTAGTGGTTATGAGTCTCTTTAGTTTATGTTTATCTTGGAAAGTCTTTGTACTTCGCATTTGGAGGGTAGCTTTGTTGGATATAGTCATTAAAGTTGGCAGGTATTTTCTATCAGGGATGAAATACATACTGCCATACCTTCCTGGCCTTCAGGGTGTCTGCAGGGAAGTCTTCAGGTATTCTGGTTGGTTTTTCTCTATAAGTGACCTGGAATATTCTCATACGGCTTTCAGCATTCTTGCCTTGCTCTGTAGTCTTGCTGTTTTAACTGTAATGTGGGGAGTCTCTTTCCTGGTCATCCCTGTTTGGGGTTGTAAATGCATCCTGTGCCTGGATGTCCATAGCTTTCCCAAGATTTGAAAATTTCTCTGTTCCTATTTCATTAAAGACACTTTCTGTGCCATTAGTTTGAATCTTGTGACCCTCCTGCTCCAGAATTTTGTAAATTGGCCTTTTAACCATTCCCCAGAGTTCTGGATGTTTTGTTCATAATTTTGACTTTTTTCTTTCTTAGTAAATGAGAATGATAATTCCTTGACCCTTGAAGGTGACAAAGGGTGCGTGGATGTTTGATATTCTCTTCAACCTACAACTTAATATTAATTTAAAAAGAGTTAAAACAGAAAAATAATTAAAAGTGTGTATTCTGGAGCTAGGGGGTGTAGGTCATTCTGCTTCATTCTGCCTCCTCTGAGCTATGTGATGTTCTGTGACTACTTGCGTCACCTGTGTTTCTTTATCTGTAAAAACCTGGAGGATTTCCCTCCTAAGATAATAGTGAGAGTTAAATAAATGCATTTAAGATACATAGAACCACCTGCAGCACACTGAAGCGTTTTAGTCTGTCGTGTGTCTGTGAGGAGCCAAGTCTTACACATGGCCTGGGAGGTGTGTCTGCACTGGGAAATATGAAGAATTCGTGCTTCTGTTCCCACTGTATGGTCACAAATTACGTATGTCCCTGGCTGTGTGGCGTCTGACTTGGGCATGTGTGTGGTGCTGTGCCCTTCTCCCTGTCCCACTGTTCTTTCCTGCATCCCACTGACGCTGCTCCCCGCTGACGTGGACACCTGTGTAGCCGCAGGGGCACTGCCTGGTCTGCTGCAGAACCCAGCAGATAAGGACTTACGGCAAGGCTGGCCTTGGGGTGTTGCTTCATAAAGCCAGGATTGTATGACTGTGGTATCATCTTCTAGCCCGCCAGGTGCTCATGTCATCGCCCAGTTTACGAAGAGACTTCTGGACGAGGAGATTTCTGTCTTTCCTGGATCAGCACTGCAGCCTGCGGTGCAGGGTGCGTTCGTGTCTGTGTGCTGTCAGATGTACGGCACCTGTGAGGGGCTGCAGGCGCTGCTTCCTTACAATTTACACGAGTCTATAGCACAGGCGTGGAGGAAGGTGAGTGTTGGAGAGCGTCCTCGCTCCTCCCTGCAAACGTTTATTTCAGATACAGGTGCCACGGCAGCGTGCCCTGTGTGTGGATGCAGTGTTTTACTGGGGTAAGGATGACTTCAGCGTCAGGCAGCACGGAGGACGTCAGCACCTCCGCTCTCGGTGCCCAGGTGCTGAGCCTGTGCTGGGCGCACAGAGGCTTGTGGTGGCAGAGGCTGTAGGGAAATTCCCTTGGCACAAATGCGCAGTCCTCTGTGGAAGATGTTTCTGAGCAAGTTTCAGAGAAAGCTGACTCTGTCATAGTATAGCAACAGTAGTGCGAGGTGTCTCTCGGTGGTTTACCGGGTCTTCTAACCTCAGTTTGTATGGCTCATCTGTGAAATACTTTGCGATAGGACACTAAGCCAAGGAATTTGCTTCAAAGTACAGTTTTGATTTTAATGACAATATTAAAAAATACAAATATAAGGGCTGGGGATATAGCTCAGTGGCACAGTGCCTGCTTGGCAAGCGTGAGGTCCTGAGTTTGATTCCCAGTACCAAAAAAAAAAGAATACCAAGCACTAATAAAAAATACAAATACAGTAAAAAAAAAAGGTCTAACAGCTGGTGCTGTCAGTAAGAAGAATGATGTGGTTCTGTCCGTTCTCTTCTAGACACGTTTGCTATCAGAGAGCGTCCCTGCGCCAATGCCAGGCTCTCACGCTGCCTCCTCAGTGAGCCAGGGACACCGAAATGCGTAAGTATGTTGTTAAAGTTATGTGCTTACCATGTTTGCTGAAGTAATTTTGTGTGTGTGTGTCTTTTTGAGACAGGGTCCCCCTACGCAGCTCAGGCTGGCGTTGAGCTCACTGTGTAGCCCAGGCTGGCCTCAAACTCACAGTGACCTTCCTGCCTCAGCCTCCCGAGTGCTGGGATTATAGGCATGGGCCACCACGCCCTGGCTCATTGCTGAAATAATTTAAAAGTTATCAAAATGTAATAAAATACTATGGCAAGAACATTTTATAGGAAGTCAGTCTATATATACAGGTTCCAGGAAAACTATAATTCGGAGGCTCTTTAGAGATTATGTGATCCTGATCACCTTTAAGACAACCTGGCAATATTTATTATAGTGACTCTGCGCTGTTTTTACGTTTTGGCTTAGGAACCTTGACATATTGTAGTGTTTCCAGAAAATTTTGAATTAGCACATACTAAAATTGAAAATGAGTCCTTTTCATTCTTGCATACATTTTCCACTTATTCAGTTACTAGACCCAGTGTCCTGTGAAGTTTTGGGGACACGTATGGACTTAGAGAGTACATTTTGTGGTGTAGAATGTAAGTAAGTATAGCTGGCAGTGTAGCATGCTAAATACACATACGGGTTAGGGAGGTCTGTTGAGAGCCAGCTCGGAAGGGAAGGCTTCTCAGAGTCGTTGTACAGCTGAGTTACAATGAGCACATGGATGTCAGCTGTGGGAAAGGAGAGGTTTGTCCTCCAGTGGTCCATGGGCGAAGTTGATAGGGAGTGTGATTAATGTATTTAGGGGGCTGGGGATTTAGCTCAGCGGCAAAGCGCCTGCCTGGCAAGCGCAAGGTCGTGAGTTCAGTTCCTGGTACCGGAGAAAAACCAATAAAAAAAAAAAAAAAGACTTGGGGCTGGGGATTTAGCTCAGTGGTAAAGTGCCTGCCTGGCAAGTGCAAGGTCGTGAGTTCGGTTCCCGGTACCGGAGAAAAACCAATAAAAAATAAAAAAAAAATGTATTTAACACACTGCTGTCAGTAACACTTAGTGGAGTTTTTAGGCTCTGCTGTTCCAGAGTGAAGGACCTAATGCCTCATATCCCATTCACTCCCTCACTTTGTGTGCTAAACCAGCTAACAGAGAAATGAAAACCCTGATTAACGCTGGCTGTGAATACCGATCTCAGGAACTGGGCAGGTTTGGTCCAGTCACAATCAGCCGGACGGTGGTGGGTTTCCTGGAAAGGCGCAACTCACCGTGGTCGAGTTGAACAGCATGGTGGGACAGAGCAGGACCTGCGCTTCCTTCCCCAGGCAGCAGGACCCTGACGGCCTGCGTGGAGGAGAACCCTTGCACCCGGCACCCGCCAGACCCGAGTTCCTCCCTCTGCTGTGGGGAGGGTGGGTAGGGGAGCCATAGAGGCTCTCAGCCAGGAGCTCATTGAGGTGCAGAGGAGGCTCTGCAACACCTGACGTTATTATGTGATCCTCCTGCCTCAGCCTCCCGAGTGCTGGGATGACAGGCGTGTGTGAGCATCTTGGTCTCACATTTTCCGGAAGCCTGCTTTGGAGCTTCCTTCTCCATCCCCGTTTGGAGTTGAGGTCGCTCTGCAGGAAAGGTAGAGCGGATGCACCGTCACGGTAGGGCACTGGCGTCCGTTCAGTGTGGAGGAGAGCAGAAGCCCCGGGTACGGCTTCTGCACGGCCGCTTTGCTTTGTGTCAGTGACTGTAGCTCTGAGAGCCCCTGAGGTGACTGTGGGGAAAACTTCAATCTCAGAGAAGAGCTGTAGGGGCTCGCCTGCCCGGCGGGTCCTGGGGCCTGCGGGCAGCTGACTGTGCAGTAGCGAGGGGCTCGTGGTCTGTGCAGCTGGCGTGTGCTCCCACGGAAGTGAACAGCCAGGCTCAGCTTCCGCAGAGCAGCGGGGGCTTCGCAGCGACCCTCCGCAGGGCAGTGGGCCGACAGAATGTAGCCGCTGAGGTCTTCCTCCTGTGCTGAGCAGTTCAGAGCATCTTCACTGCAGTTTAAAGGAGAATTGCAAGTGTAGTAGCAGAAAAGATATGCTGTCAGGGCAACACTTACTTTCCGGAATTGTGTATGCTGTTCCACGTAGTGGTCCAGCTTGCCAGCTTTTTGCCTGTATTTTATTTGGGAGGAAACATGCAGAATTTTTAAGTGATTTTGGTGTCTTCAACAGCCAATGTCTTAGATTTCTGTTTGTATTGAGTAACTTTTGATTATATTATTTGAAGTTAACATTACTTCTTAAAATCTGTATATTTACACTTTTCAAAGTAAATCTGCTGGAGTAATTGCTGTGTGATTAAAAAAAATTGTCCCCCAGATTTAATTATCTCTCTTTTTTGACCCTTAGTAGTTTTTGGTCTTTTCTGTCCCCCTGTGCAGTTTATTGCCTTAGCTTATCGGACAGGGGTTCAGTTCTGTTCGTGTTCTCTTTTCTTCCCTCTTCTCCTCCCTCTCCGGCTCTCTCCTCTCGGGAGAGGGAGAAAGGGCCCGAGATGGGAATTAGCACAGCAGCCCACGGCAGCCGCACGAGAGCAGTCTGATGCATAGCACTTTCATTACGCGGTTACTAAATATTTTTGACATTTCTATTTTTATTTTCCTCTTTAATCTGTGAAACATTTGTAATGCATTGTTTTTAGCTTCCAAACACAGTTGTTGTCACTGTTTTATTTTCTCTTTGACTCACAATTACACTCTTTCCGGAGACCATGGGTCGCATGTGTCTCTTTTTACCCTGGTTGAGTTTACTTGGTGACTTAGTACTACAGGGCTGGCTGAAAAAAAATCTGTTTGCTTAGAAAGACTATTCTTCCTTGGAAGCTGATGCTTTATATGTGCTTCGATATATGCATAAATATATTTATAATCTTTTACAACTTTGCTTTAAATTTTATGTTCTGTGATACAAATATCGCCAGAATTTTGCTTCGGTTCATATTTGCATAAGGTATTAGGAGGTTGCAGATAACGCAGGAAGATTTCATTTGCATGCACAGCAAGGTTTGTCAAGGAAGAGCACGCGGGCGCCCGTGATGGCGTGCCGGTGTTGTGGACACTGTGTCCTTTCTTGGTCTTGGTCAGCAGCAGTGTGTGCTTTCTGCCTTCGGGCCTGCCTGGTGCCCAGTGAACCTTGAGGTTCACGGCTGCTCTCTGCGCAGAAGCCGGATGTCTGCTTCTCACAATGCCACGCGTTTACTTAGGGAGAAAATCTCCTGTCGTGCGATGTTGGCGGGGATCTCTGCAGTTGCCGTCTGGTCACCCCTGGGTGTCGGGAGTCGGGGGAAGAGGGGTTATCCATGTGGGCTTGGGCCAGTTTTATCTTGTCACTACGTACAGATGTGTTCTTCCCGCCCTCTCATCCCCTTCCCGCCTGTCGTGCTGAGAGCAGTGCTTCGTCTGTCCTCCTTGCAAGTGGGTCCCGGGAGGTGCGAGGAGCGCCGAAGACTGCAAGTACCAGGCAAACCGCCGCGGCCGGAAAGGGCCGAGAGCCGCACGGCCATCCGTGTGGACAAGCTGCGACTGGCACGGCGAGTGCTAAGCAGATGTCCAGTGTGGGGACAAAAGCTTCAAGCCAAAATGTGTCCAGTACCAAATTCGATGAGTTTCAGAGCACTCAAGTACCAAGGTATGACTATAGTAGATTTTATAGTCTGAGCTGATCTTTAAATTTTTATGTAAAGTTTTATTAGCTGGGTTTAAGGGTTTTACATTTTTTTGTGATGCTGATACATTTGGAGCTTATGTTTTCTCTTATTTTGTATTTTCTGTGTATGTTCTCTTTGTTGCTTTTCTTCTTGGCTGCTTTATTTTAGATTGATAGAAGTTTTATTCCTGTTTTTCCCTCTTGAAAGCATAAGCTGTGTACTTACTTTTAAAAGTAGTTAATCCTTAAGGTGTTAGTGTATATATTTTGTTATATGTTTTAAAAGAAGTATAAAATAGTTAGGTATTTGTATCATGCTTGGTATGGATCACGGGTTTTAGCGAGCTTCTGTGATCATTGATCCCAAATGCATTGTAATTCTTCATCTTCTTGAGGTTATCTGGAAGTTTGCTTTTATATTTTAAATCATCTAGTTTATTTGTTCAGACTGTTACATTTATTGAACCTGTTTTTACTACTTTTTTATTACATTTGTTAAAATCTGTGGCCCATTCTTTGGATTACTTTTTTCCCCTTATACTTCTTTTGTTAAAATTTAGGGATGGTAAAACTATCCTTTCTTTTTATGTCTAAAAATACCTATTCTTTTTCCATCCCATACTCCCCTCCCCCAGCACGTACATTCTCACTCAGAGGTGATAGTTTATCTGGGTATAAATGTTCAAGTAGACAATTATTTTTCATTCATTTTTGAAGCTATTTCTCCATTGTCTTCTAGAATAGGTAGTAAGTGATAAATCTATTGCAGTATAACCACATGTCTTTGCATTTGTTTATTTGTTTATTTATTTATTGTGGTGCTGGAGATTGACCTCAAGACCTCACACATTTTTGTTGTTATTTTGATGTTTTCTGTATCACTTTAAATTTGCCCTAATGGTACTGTGAATGATATCATAATGATATTTTTCCTCAATTCATAGGAAGTCATTTTTAAAATTTAATGGGTGAATGATAATATATATTGAATACAGTGCTTTTAAAATATTCTTTCTGTTTTCTTGAGGCTCCCATTTTTTTCTCTAGAGAAAGTTGTTGGCTTTCCTTATGTATGTGTTTTGAGAAGAAAATGATGTCATTCTCCCAACGTAAAATGTAAAAACTCATCAAAATAACATGGTTTAGAAAGTCATATTTTATAATAAAAGAAAGCACAGAAACAATGGAAGTTGAGGGCCAGGGAATCCAGGCAAACACGATAATGCTAGCAGGTTAGACTGGATTTAAAGCTTGCAGGAGAGAATCTGGATGCAATGAAAACACTGAGAAATGCACTGACAAATACGTGTTTCCCTCAGAGAAGGAAATCTTTAGACCAGAACATGTAAGAAGGAAAGAATTACCCTCAAAGAAACCAATCTTTTACTCTTCTTTTAAAATATCTTTTGAATAGTTTACAATCAATGTGTAGTTTACAAATTTAATTATTGGAAGTGTAAAGCTGAAACATTTTTCATTCAATTTCGAGCATCCTGAGAGCGTAAGTTCTACCCTTCTTTTACTTGTTTCAGTATGGCTTGCGAAGAGAATTTGTTAGACGATTTACTGAATTTTGCTGCTACCCCCAAAGGATTACTGCTTCTTCAGCGAACAGGTGTAATCAATGAATGTGTGACATTTATGTCCAACCAATACGCCAAAAATTTACAGGTATGAATTGCCATCTGCTGCTGGCAAAAGGGATTCTTGCTGCTGTAAAAGCCATTAAGAACATCATGCTGCTCTGTGTACATGCAGAAGTTACTAAGCCTCAATTAAAAAGCTGTATCACATTACAGTACTTGAGGTTTTTCTTTTAAGGAAAACATTAGAGATTGATATTGGTATTGTAGCTGTGTTTACACAGTTAATCATCCACATGTTTTATAAATACGATATCAAACATCTGGATGTACTTAAGCTGCATGGATTTAACTTCTGGAGAAAAACTTAGAGTCTAAAGGTATGTATCAGTGAATGTTTAAGCTTCCATGTTTTAAAAGAATTGAAACCATTTGTAGAGAAACTATATTTTACTTCTAAATAAAATTTATGATATAATTTAGCCTTTTATCAAATAGTCAGAGCCATTAAGTCACATTCAGACCATTTTGTGGAGGTAAATATCCCTAGACTTCTAGACTTTTTAGGGTCTTAGGTGTGGCTTTTTATACTTCATTTTTAGAGTAGTTAACATAAATATTATCTGAAAAACACACACACACACATATATATATATAAAATGAAGGGAATTCTCAAACGTAGGAGTGAGGGGAGTTAGTCCTGCAGGATGTTAAGTCTGTTGCAAGTGACACAGTGGGGAGGGAGGTGAGGGAAAGGGGATGAAGAAAGGTCTGGTTAAAATTTGTTTTCCCCGCAGTTCCGGCCTTTTTGCTAGCCGCGCTGCGGCGTCTGTCCCGGTCCGTTCAGCAGCGGTCTTCGTTCTGCTTTGTCTCGAGCAGCTGTTGTTTTGACAGCGCTGGGTTCCCTGTTGGCAATGTGCTCTTCCTTCCTCTTGCTCTCTTCAATTCGAATTTACTACTTTTGGTTAAACTTAGAAGAAAACCAGTAACTCAGCCCTTTGTTGTTTCTGCCTGTGAAAAATAAACTGTTGTTAGGTGAGATTCCTCACCAGTCTCTCATGAGTAAACGTGTTTCTGTGGGCCTGTGGGCTTGCCACGCTGGTTCGTGTGTACAGGTGAGTGCTTTCATGTCGTGCTGCTGAAGGGGAGCGTTTCTGCACCGGCTCATTCCGCGCCTGTTTATGGCGCGTGCTGCGCGTCCCCCTGCGCGACGCCTCGCGTGTTGATCGTTTCCGTCTAGCGCTGCTGCTGCCGGTCAGCTCCAGTCGCCCTCACGCGTGCCTGTCCCAGCTTCTGCCTTTGAGAGTTGGATGTGCACAACGCCCTGGGAATCTTCTCTGAGAATCTGTACGCTGTCTTCAGGCCCTTCGACGTTGGCAGAAAGTTGTGTGTGGCTTTCTAAGCAGGGACTTTGCAGCTGCCCCTGTATATTAGTTAAGGATTTGGTGTGTGTTGTTGTATTTTTGCAAACATGGAAGCGATTCAGAGATCTTTCTTGTTTTCATTCCGGTGCTTCAGACCACGCAAACGCAGCTTTTACTGTAAGGTGATCACCTCCGATGTGGTGCCTTTTCTATTTTCATACATTTTGAAATAACCTAGTCTGGTTTTGCGTCCCGTTGTGGTCCTCAGAGATGACACTGTTCCCTGGACTTCTGCAACGTACAGCCTTGTAGTTTAGTTCATGCCATCTTCATTATGGTAATTGTGATGCCGCAGTGGTGCTCGGCCCCATTCAGTATGTTTCCTTTATTTAGATTCTCAGTTGTTTGCCAAGAAAGCAAGGAGGCAAGGTCATCTTAATATTGCCGAAGGGAAAGAGGACACTCAAATGACACGTTTCACAGGCCTGGTAACCAGCTAGTTACTCATTGCAGCGAGGCTGAGGCTCACATTTCTTGCCGTTTATCTTAGACAAACAGTGTCTGTATTTTATTTAGTGAAGCATCTCTAACTGATAATTTCCTCTGCGCCTTCCTTTTTAGGAGTGTGACTTGGGCAGGCCCGGGTGGCCGATGCCGTATGAGCAGGGCCGGGGGGAAGTTGGTGAAGACAGTGCTCTTTCGTTGTTGTGGAGGAAGGCAGGTTGGAAAAAGGCTGGACACTGGTCCTGCTGAACTTCTGTGAACTGAGGCTGCAGAACAGCAGGTTAGAAATAAGGAAGACAGGAAGTACCACCCATGGAAGGAGAAGAGGAGGGTAAACGCAAAGACACAAGCAGCAGAAAATCTAAGAAATAAGCCTAATTTTATCTTGTGGTCCTAAATTCTTCTGTAGTTCCTTTTTTCCCCTTAAAACGGAATGTACAGTTTATATTTTTAAAAATTGAAGTTAAAACAGATACTTTTAGTATGAATTCTGAATGAATAACTGTTTGGAAGCCAAGTACTGTATAAGCCAAGATGATGCTAGCCAGTCTGCAGAGGAGATTATTGTGTCTGTCTGATTCTCTGTCGCGGTTTACGCTAAGAGCGGTGCTCTCTTCTGTACTTCCCTCTGAACATACATTCAGTATTCTCCGCGGAATAGCAGGTTCTGTAGGATTTTACAGTGCTCGCCTAAACTGGTATATTCATGACTAGGAGTCTGTGTGAGCTTGTACACACACACACACACACACACACACACACACACACACTGTTCCCACTTCAGGGTGCCTTCTAAAATAATGTCCACCTTGAAAAGAAACCATTATTATTTTTTAGAGTTGTTTGATTAGTTGAAAATTCAATTAAGGAACTGGCATTCGATTGAGATTTATTAAGGATGAAACTGATTAATGAGGACCCAGCCTAACAGTAGTAATAGGACAATAAAATTTAGAGTTGGAAGCAGTCTCACTCTTCATCTGGTCCAAGTCCCTTATTTCATGTATGACCAGAGTTAGGCCTAGGGAGGTACGTGACTTGTTCAAGGCCAGAGCTGGGACCTGAAATAAGATTGTCAAAAATATCACAGGCATACACATTCATTGACTGTTAGGGTCTCAGTTTGTTTTTCTTGCTGCTGTGATTGTCTTATTTTTTTGAGATAGGGTCTCGCTGTGCAGTTCAGGCTGGCCTTGAACTCACTATATGGCTCAGGCTGGCCTCAAACTTGCAGCAATCCTCCTATCTCGGCCTCCCAAATGCTGGGATGACAGGCGTGCACCCCACGCCCGGCTGTTACTGTCCTAAAGGGTGTTTAATATTCTAATCTAAGAGTAGAAGTAACTCTGGAATAGCATGCGTGAAGCAGCGTTCTCCTTTGTTCTTCCCCTTCCGCGCCTCGTCCCTTAGGTCAGCCGGCGGAGGAAGGCTGACCGTGGAGTGGTGCTTGCACAGGTGGCGTCCACGGCAGCAGGTGCAGCAGCTCTGCGAGACTCAGGTAGGCCTTTCCTGCCATGTAAAGGTAACAAACCAAGCAAGCAGCCGCAAGTTGGCCTGGCACGATGAAGTATCAGATATGTAATCCTACGTTCTGTTACTCAGGTTAAATTTTGTGCAAAAGAAAGTTACAAGATTTTGTTTTTGGCTTTGTCTTTCACAAAATTGTGCTGTTTTTTTTTCCCCCCTGTGAAACACACGTGCCCTGTCCGCTCCCCTAGAGTGATGGTACGTGCTCGAGGGAACAGAAAGGTACGGGAAGCCTGAAGAGTCCTCGCCTTGCTCCTGTCTCCACAGCGTCATCTCTGTAGGATGGCCTGAGTGCTTTGTTCAGAGACTTCAGCGTCTCTGCATCAAAATTGACGCTTCTGACCGTTGCCACGCATGCACACACCGTTTCCTGATTCCCTTTCTGCCCTGTCTCTTCTTGGCAGAATCCTTACCACTGTGTTTTCACGATCACTTGGATTGTGCAGTATTTCTTCTCCATGTCAGCTGGATTTAAAGATGCTCACACACGGGGGGTTAATATGCCCATGCGAAGGCTTACCCCATACCGACAGGGTGCCTTCCCGCCAGGGGTGCTGGCTTACATTTTCACAGCCTCAGTGACCTGAGCGTCCACTACAGTTTCTTTCTTTAAGTGAAAGTATTTCCTGTATTGTATCTTTAATTTTTGGCTGAACTAATTTGAACTACTTGTGAGGTGAAACATGTTTTTTTTTTTGGCAAAACTTGCCCTGTACCGAAGGACTTGTTTTTCTTCTACTTAGAATAGCCTAACGAAGCATTTCCAGACTAGTTTAAACCTCAAATCTGACTCTTGGTTAAGTCATTTAAGCTTCCTCCTACTTTCCACAAGAGGGTTGAATGTGGTTTTCCATAGGCCAGAAGGAGGAAAGTGTCCTGTCATGCCTTGAGTAACGTTAGGAAATTTATGTGCAGCATCCCCTGTATATTTTGTGGCAGCCCTATAATTATTATCTTGCTTTTCAATTGGGGAGGTCCAGGGATTTTTGCCAAAGTTATGTACTTAATGAGTTGAAAAATGTTGGCTGGGTGTGGTGGTGTACTCCTGTAGTCCCAGCACTTGGGAGGTTGAGGCAGGAGGATCATTGCGTGTTCAAGACCAGCCTGGGGTACAAAGTGAGCTCAAGGTCAGCCTGAACTGCATAGCAAGATCCTATCTCAAAAAGACAAAAAAAAAGTTGAAAAATGTAGAATTTGAACCCTCATATTCTTACTTTTAGAGTCTGTATTTTTTGTTAGCAGAGGACCCTTATGGTTCTAATAGAACTACTGATTTTCTGGTTGGATGTTATATTTTTATAACATACAATTTTGCATATGATTAATCAAGTTTTGCATATGGTTTTGCATATGATTAATCAAGTTTAATATTCATTTTCATTTAGTTATATAGCCTTTGACTCATGGGATTGTATTGAAGCAGTTGTATATAATGCGGAATTGTGCTGACCATATGGAAGTGTGTGTGTGTGCGTGTGTGTGTGTGCATTTATGAGTAAGAGAACGTGTGCACTTTCACTGTTTTACTGTTCAGATGCCCAGGCTGCTTTCCGATCCCCCTCCTCTCCTCCCCAGCCCATGACACGCAGCCTTAGGCCTGAGCATGCCTTTGCTGCTGACTCATTCACAGAGCACAGTGTAAATTTTATCATTTTTTTTTTTTTTTTTTTTACAAAAACATTCACAGAAGCTGTTGGTCAAGTGAGAAGATCTTGGCCTCAAAATTCAGCATTCCAACAGGGAACAAGTTTCTCTGAGTTTACACATTAGAGCTTTATGGTGATGGCGGGTCATAAACGTGTTCTGGTAATCTGAGCAACTTTCGTGAAGATAGCAATGTGTAATACAACAACCACTGTTACTTCCTGTCATCTTGTTTTGAAATTCTGTATCATTATTGTTTTTGTGTTGTTTTTGTCTTTGTTGTTATTTTTATTTTCTCTTTAAAATGAAAAAATTAAAAGTGTAGTAACAATAGATGTTTACACAAAGGGCAGAGATGGTCTCTCACGGAAGAGGTATGTGTGTGTGCGGCTTTGGTGAGTGGACCAGCCTTTTCGCCAGGATAACCGCGTCTTTTGCTCCATAATCTGGAAGTGCTCTCCCATGAATGTGACATAAAATCTCTTTCTTCCCAGGGTTTGTCAGTGCACTTGTAGCTGGTCTGTGGTCCAGTCTGGAGTGTGGAGGAGACGATGTGAGGGTGACCCACCCCAGGTCTACGCCGGTGGACCCTATTGACCGAAGCTGTCAGAAGGTAAGGAGTCACTTGGTTCATAGATAAATACAGCGCAGATGACGCATACCTCACGGAAATGGCCACCCTGACCTTGGCCATGCCTGCTTACAGCCGGCACACTCTCCTCATTGCCTTCTTCTCTTTGTTAATTTTAATTTTTCTCTTTTGTTTTCCAAATAAATTGAGTGAACAATGGAAACACTGCTGTTCCTTGGGAATATTTTACAAGATGCTTGTCTTTCACATCTTCCTCCCTTGATAAAGAGTATGGTAATAACTTAATAGAGAAAACAGATCTCTGAAACGAACAAAACCAGTGAACCAAAAAAAAGTCCAGGCCGCATTCTCTTCTCGGGCTTGGATCTAACGGAGTCCTGTGAGGCCCTGGGGTTGTGGAGGGGAGGTGCCTGGAGGTCTTCTAAGCACCACACAATATTTTATCATAATTCAGTGGCTCTTTCACATTTTTAACACTTTGTCTGGATTCCACTGTAATAAGGTGATGATTTCTAACTTGAACTTTATAGTACTATGGGACTTTTTGTCAAAAGAGATCATAATTTTTTTTAAAGAAAACCTCAATGTTTTGTAATTCCTCTTTCTGGAGTGGTTAACTCTTCACTGGAAGAGTGAACTCCAGTTCACTCTTGTAGAAAATAACACATTTTAGAAAAATAATTTTAAAATTAAGTGGGTAAGAGTACTGTAATGACCAAAGCCAGGTAGTAAATGGAAGAGAGTCCGTGCATGGACGAAGAGAATGGCGCTGTTCAACATTCTGGGTGTAAAAGGGGCTTTTTTTGTGAGGACAGGTACTCTGGATATGCCAGAGATAGAAACCCACAACTGAACCATGTCACCAGGACCGGGTGTGGGCCACACAGCAGCGGGGAAGTGGGGCGGGATCGCAGACAGCATCCAAACACTGTGCTGACCCACGACTCTGCCCAAACACTGAGCTTCAGAGATCTCAGGTGCTGTCCGCCCTGTCCCGGCGGGGGGAGCTGGGGTCTGGCCACCGCCTCTGTGTGTCTGGGCTCGAGGCTGCCTTCAAGTCACTGCTTTTTCTGACTGCTCTGCCTGTGGAGCGTGCTTTCCACGTGCCCTGGCAGGGTTATGAGACCTCTGTCATTCTTCAAACTTTCGGGTCCGCATTGGCTTCTTATCCCCAGTGTTTTGTTTACCGTGAAAAACACTTTCCTGTGTGTTGTTCTAGCTACAGTGTAAGATGTAACTGGCACGACTGCCCAGAAAACAGCTTTTGTCTCGGAGACAGGGACAGCTTGGCCCTGCCCCCGGCAGCTCGCTGGCCCGCGTCTTCGCCTCCGACCCCTCGCCGGCTGTGCTGGGCTGGGTCCTCCTCACCACCTCCTACCCCTCGATGGCACGGGCGGCAGGGCGGTGTCCTGGCTTAAGTGACGGGCAGGGACTGTGCCCTTACTTATTTTTTTAATTTTTGACATCTGGCACCACCACTGGTAAGTAACTGGTGTCAAAACATTTTGAATAAATAAGTGAATAGATGATCATTCTCAATTGGGAAGACTTTCCATGCCTATGAAGACTTTGTGGCTTTAGGTAATTAATTTGATGCTTTGGTCTTAAAATATGTTTCATTTGACCTTCCATTAAATTTCTTATTATTTCACAAAACGCTGTTTTTGTTTTTTTTTTTTTTAGCACATTGGTAAGTATATTTATGTGTTGTGATCATGTGCTAGGATTTGCGCATTTCGTGCAGGTGTTAATAGGGTCAGCCCCTGGTGCTGGCGACGTCACTGTGCGTTTTTGTGGAAGCCAGTGGCTGCACAGTGAGTGCTTCCCGGTTCTGCTTCCCACAGCCCGAGTCTGCAGCACCCCGTGTCTTTAGAAATGCCTGTCATGTGCGCGGTGGATGTCTTTCTCCTAGAAACAAGTGGCTGAGATCTGAAGTCTCTAAAATTCTGTTCAGGTTGTTTCTGTTCAGGAATATAATTATTGAATTGTTTTCATCTGAAGTCCTGTGTAATTCGCTTAGGGCAGCATATCAGAAGTTCCCACAAGTTTGCATTGTCCTAATTGTTTTCTGAGCAGGAGAGTCCATAAATATGGAGTTGTTCATAGCTAAATCATACAAACCCATCAGTGTGTTAGTGATACATGTGACTAACAAAGACCGTATGTCTTTTTCCATCAAAATCCAGATCTATTAAATGTTTGTTTTTATACTTTTCCATTGTGATGGGTAGGAAAGTCCCTTCATCATAAAAGAAGGGCTCACTTATGGTAGTATGTTCTGATGGATGAATATGAGGAACATTGTGAAGCATTCACTCATTCGAATTATAAAGCATTTCAACTTGTGCCTTTTAGTTTACACCCTCATGACAAATTGGCTTGAAATAAGACCGTATTGCCTTCTGTTTCGTCACCTTTGTGGTCCACACCTGGTGACCAGTGATGAGCTTGTGCAGTGGCCTGGGTGGCCGGAAGCGCTCTCTCCCCTCAATGGTTGTAAGGCGCAGTGCACGCACCCGCCCTCCTCGGCAGTCAGGTTCCCTCGATTCTCTCGAGTGTGAACTTCTAAACCAGATTTCTCTTTACATAAGCATTGGATTTGTAAGTGGCAACGAGGCCATTTCATTTATTTATTTGTTACTTTTTGATAATATTAGTTATCCAAATCGATATTTGCTTTTGTTGTGTATAAATTATATTCTTAGAGTAGGCTAGAAATTCCACCTTCATTTTAAGAAATACTGCTTTCTGGAGGCAAATGTAGGTGCTTAAAAGAAAACTTAATGAGAGCGCATTACTTATCCAGAGATAACCTTTGTTACCAACCACTGTGTAAGAAACACTGACCTTGTAGCCCCCGTCGCTGGTTGGGTTACACTTGGATTATGTGCTGAGATTATGGAAGGAAACACAAGCTGGACTCTGGTTTCCAGCTTCCCCAGCAAGGGCTGCAGATGTCAGACACTGTCCAGTGGGGTCTGAAGGTGATGTCCTGATTTGTAAGCAGTAATCTTAGCCTGGAAATGAGGAAATGCAGACTAGCTCTGCCGTCAGCCTTCCCACAGTGACTCAGCCAGGCCACTTTACTTATCTGGACCTGAACTTTTCCCATCAGTTAAATCAGAGAAGGAATTAAGTGTTCTTTTAAATTTTCTCAAATTTCAGTTTTCTTCTTTCTTTCTTTCCTTCTTTCCTTCTTTCTTTCTTTCTGTCTTTCTGTCTTTCTGCCTTTCTTTCTGTCTTTCTTTCGAGAGGAGGTCTCACTCTATAGTTCAGCCTGGCCTTCAACTCACTAGCCCAGGCTGGCCTCATATTTGCTTTGGTCTTCCTGTCTCAGCCTCCAGCGTGCTGGGATTACAGGTGTGCCACCAAATTTCAGTTTTCTGATTCTAGTGAAAGTTCTCAATTTGTATGACAGGAAAATTTTCTGAGACTTTTTCAAAAAGATTAAACAAGTGAAATACTTAGTAGTTACAAATAAATTAATAGGATATAGTTGAAGATGAAAATATAGAATATAGAGCTTTTAGAAGTAAAAAGAGTTAATGGGACTCCAAAACACAGCGAGAAACATTTGGAAAGCTGTGGAGGTGGGAATGAAGGAGAAGCATGGCTGATGGAGGCCCCAGGCCACTGTCGTGGGTGGCTTCCCGTGGGCACCGTGGAGGAGGGGAAGGGTGTGTGTGCGCAGCCCTGGAAGGCCAACTCCGTGACGGGCGCGGCTGCATCCGGGAGGGAGAGGCGCCTGGGACGTAGCCCCTTCCTTTCAGAAGGTGAAGGTGGAGTGTGGAGCTGGGAGACTGTGCGGAGAGATCAGCTTGCGGGATTATGCCAGAACACGGGGGCCAGTTGTAATTTTTAAAATTAACTGTAATATGTAGATTAATTGGATTTTCAGTGAACCTGGGAAAAGGTAATCTGTGTCCCGAGGGCAAGAATATGTAGAATTTGTTATCTTGCCCTAGAGTCCCTAAGCGTTACTCTTGTATATTCTTATGCATATGAGATCGAATAGTACAGAGGATAAGAAGGATTCCTTCCTCCCTCCCTTCTGCCCTCCTTTATGTCCGGTCAGAACTAAACTGTGCGGGAGCTGCGCAGCGCTGGAAATGTTGCCCAGCTCTCACATATGCTCTGTAGCAGTTGTTCCGTCGTGTGCTGTGAACTCTCCGGGCTGCTGTTTAACTGCTTTGCACTTACCGAATATGGAGGATCCCAATCCGATTTGGATTGTTAGATTATTACACGGTAGCCCTCCGGCCATACAGCCGTGCGTCTTCACTGCTCTCTCCTTCCGTGGATGCTGTTGGCGAGCTAATGACCCGGACTGCCTCTCCTCCCGCCCAGGCTTTTCTGGCGCTGGTGAGCTTGCTGTCTTCCCCTGCTGCCTACGAACTGCTGGGCCTCCGAGACCTTCCGAACAGGGCGGAGTACTCTCTCCGAGAAGTCCCCGCGGGTGTCACGGTGAGTCCTCTGCTTTCCACGTTCCCTTTTGTAAATGCCGCCTGTTTGAGATGGGGAGTAAAATGTATCTTGACCAAAAAAATTCTTTAATAGCTTTTAAAGGTTGAGTTAGTTATTTACCCCTGGTCTGTCAACTCTGGAATCCCCAGGAGTGGGAGTTTGCTCCAGACCTTTCGGCAGCCCCAGTCGCCCCCGGAGCACGAGACCCCTGTCCGGCCGCAGAGAGCTTCGGAGAAGCAGAAGTCCATGTGTGCGGGGAGCTTTGCGGCTCACCGTGTCCTTAGCTATGGTGGAGCTGCTCCTCCGTGGCTAGAATAATTAAGAATAGTTTATATCTGAGAAGGTCATTATATTTTGTTTGTTTCAGTGAACTACATATTATTGCCCCACGAGGGCAGTATGTACGTACTGTATTTGTTTAATCTGAGGCTTGTTTTACACTCATAAAGTTGCCCAGATGATTAACTTGAATAAACCCTCCTAAGAGGTATTTACTTCCTTATTTTTGGGTAAGTTTATGAATTAAACGTGCATAGGCTTATATAGATAAGGGTTTGTGAAGGATTGCTCTATGCTGGAATTCCCTCTTAATCACTATTTTTTTCCTAGTCATTTTTCCTGTGTGTTATTGTTCTTATAAACACACTTTTCCCCTTCTGAATACTTTTAACCCATGTTAACCCCAAATATTTGAATTTTTAAAATCTTTTTTGACTGGGAAATTTTGGGTAATAGAGGAATGAAATATGTAAGGATGGGTACTTCCACTGTTAAACTTTCAACCTGGATTCTCCCAGTTCTCTTCAAGGGTTGCGGTTGTATCTCCTGCTTACGCTTCTCTCCCAGGGCCTCTCGCGTATGCCGCAGTTGGCCCGGGTCTGCTTGTCTCCCACAGCACTGAGTGGTGGGGGCAGTGGGGGCCTGGTCGTCCTTAGCGTCGTGTGCCCAGTGACCAGGTATAGGAAGCAGTCATGGCGCCCGTGTTGGTTTACAGAAATGGGTTGTGGAAAATAGCATAACTGAGTGTTGTTAATCTGGAACAGTGGCTCAAGTGTGTTTTCTAGTTTCTGTTTCTAGCTCAGTCCAGTGCTTATTCCGTGTGTCTTTCCACTTAGGCGAGGATTCTTCTTCTGTTTATGCTTAAGACATTTATCTGCAAGCTGGGTTACTCCTGCACTCCTGGAGGGCATTGCATTTCAACCCTGTAGAAGAATCACCAGCTGCTTCCTGTCACCCCTTGAACATGTGTAGACTCTGCTACCAAACCAAACAACTTACTTAACCTCTGTATTCCTTTGCTATTGTTGTTTTGAGACAGGGTCTTGCTGTGTAGCTCAGTCTGGCCTTGAACTCACTGTGTAGCTCCGGTTGGCCTCAAACTCACAGCGATCCTTCTGCCTCAGCCTCCTGAGTGCTGGGGTTATAGGCATGTGCCACTGTGCTGGTGATCCACTCGTTACTGTCATTCCCCTCTCCCGTGGTTGTGGTCCTGTGTACCTCTGGCTGTCTCTGGTTTCTGTGGTCTGTCCTGGACCTCTCTCAGGCATTTTCCTCTGGAATCACTTCTTCCAGTTTCCTGGCTTCTCGTGGGCACCACTTAGCGGTACAGTTTCTGCAGCTGAGTACGTTTGCTCTGCTACACGGGTTGTCTCCTCTTCTCCTGTCTCAGTGTGTGGCACCACCCGCTCTGCAGCTGAGCAAGCCAGGAGCCTGGAAGTCGCCGCTGCTGTCCCCTCACCGGCCATGTGTCGTGTCCTGATTTCTGCATCGCGTTATGCCTCTCTCATGACAGCCTGGCGCAGAGCCCCGCCTCCTGTCTGGATCACTTCAGGAAGATCCTAACTGCTCTTCCTTTCAGTATCAAACTCTAAGTTATCCTCTCTCTACACTGAAGCGATGCTTTAAAAACAGAAGCCAGCAGCAGCCTTTCTGTGGTTCAGATCTCCGCCGATCGCTGTGGCTCCTGAGGGAGTCTGCGTTCCTCTGTCTGGCCTGTGACATCGCCTCGCTGCCCGCCGCCCCTCTTTCTCTGCTCTCACTTTGCACCTTCTCCTGCAGGCTCTGCGGTCTCGAGGTTGTATAACCTTGCTTCTGGGCTGCGCAGCACTTCTCATTTTTAGGACTTCCTTCAGTCTCCTGTGTCCTTTCTCCTAATGTGCTCCCTTTGCCCATGGCACAGTCTGACAGATACTGTTGTATGGCTCCCTGCACACCCACCTGCCTCTCCGGATCGGCTGGAAGTATGGTAAATTCTTATGTTCTTCCATGGAAGTCCCGTGGAAGGAGCTCTAGCAAGCAGCACCGAGGAACCCGTGTGTGTGTGTGTGTGTGTGTGTGTGTGTGTGTGTGTGCCGCGCGCACGTGCACAGGTAGTGGGCTTCCTTACCTTTCTGGTGTGGATGTTTCCAGAGTTGCGTGGGAAGGTAGCATAAGGAGCCCTCATCTACCATCACAAAATTTCAGCTTTTTTTTTGCATTTTTAAACTAGTCTTTTCCCATGTGTTCCCCACACTTTTCCAGTTTCCTGCCATGTACTTCTGCTTTGCCCCCTGACTTCTGAAGCTCCTGTCAGCATGCTGTCCGCTCACCTGTAATGACTCAGTCCCTAATCCGCTAAGGACTTGCTGTACCCTGCATGGCTGCAGTAAGTCCTGGTGGCATTACCACCCCTGGCGCAGTGGCTTTGCTCCCTCAACCCAGTGCGTAGCCTGTCCAGAGGCTGTCTCTGGCTCGGAGCTGTGTCTCTTGCTGTTGGTTAATTTACCGTCTAAACAAGGTCCGCTGTCCGCTCCGGCTTCCAGTCTTCAGTCCTTCATTCTTGGGCAGCAGTTCTCCCTTCCTTTTTGTTCCTAGGCCATGGATTCTTGGAGAAACTGGGTTATTTGTCTTTGTTGCAGGGATTCATGTTTCATTGGCAGGTGTGAAATAATGGTTCTAATTCTGCCATTCTTTTTATATTTAATTAAGTTCGTTAGGAAAAATTAATAAAAATAACCTTGAAAAAGTTATTTTTCAGGAAAAGCAGAACAAACCGTTGAGTACATTTTTAGAATAATGAATTAGTGTGGTAGTTATCTCTATAAGGGAGGTGTAAGTATTCTTGTTATCATTATTATTGTTATGAACCTGCTTTTTTTTTTTTGCTTTTCTTCCGGTACCAGGAATTGAACTCATGACCTTGCGCTTGGCAGGCAGGTGCTGTGCCGCTGAGCTAAATCCCCAGCCCCCTGAATCTGCTTTTTGTTTTTATTTTATTTTATTTTTTAATTTTAGAAATAAAAGGAGGAAAATACTAACAGACCGACAACATTTTACAAAATAGCAAAGGATCAGTACAGACACAAACAGAG